TGCATGTTATGCAAGTAAAGACGACAGAAAGGATCAGCATTCCATCTCTCTTGTTGAAGCGGCCAATCAGAACACAGACGCGGTCTTGCTGTCGTAACAATTGATGCAATTTCTCTTCTTTTTCTTCAGATAAAGCTGAAGCTAAAAAAGAAAGGGTTTTAATTATAACACGAATTTATAGAAAACTAGCTTTCGCCCGTGACTCCGTCCGCGTGGTATTAAAGTATCCTATAGTTTCTTCCAGGCTATCCTCTACATCTAAGCCAAATTTCAAAATTATTCAAAATATGCTTTAATTGCTGACATCTTAGGCAACAAAGAAGTGTGTGTTTACGCTTTATTATAATAGTATAGGTATATAGTATAGACTATAGAGTATAGAAGTACAGATATAGATAATTAAATTTGATTGGTTTCGCTTCTTGTTCGTTTTTGCATGTATGTGTTACACACGTGAAACACGCTACAGAAGCACAGTTCAAACTGGTCATTTCGATAGTTAAAACTGGGCTTATTTACTTACAGATAAAACACAAACCTGGTCTTTTGAATTCCGTTACTCCAAGTTGCTCAATTGCTCTGTTAACTGATTTTGTTGATAACCTTAATGGCGGATTTTCTCGGGCAATCGTCTCTTCTGTGATTTTGGATAAATCTATAGAAATGTTGATAAAACATATAAAATAATTGTCTTCTGAATTCTAAGGATTTTCTACAAATACACACTGTAGTAACATGCATTATTTTGAGATTGTGTAACTATGATGTAATTTATATTGTAATAAAATTGATTGAATTTCATATTATATAAGCTGTCACCCGCAAACTTCGTTAGCGTAAAGGACCACTCGTTACGCAATTATGACAGCGCGGAATTAAAAAAAAGCCTATTATATGCCTATCCATGTCAGCTACCCTCCAGTGAAAGACCCCGCCGAAACCGGTTTTTGAGATTACCCGGAACAAACGCGGCTTGCGGACAGACAGACAGATAAAAATTCTTTAAATGCGATTTTCATCATAAGCAATGCAATTACATCATCTTTCCGAAATCTGGATTTTTTCTTTTGATATTATATACAGACACTTCAATTTTATTATATGTATAGATGAGTAAAATTCTCTGAATATCTACATTCTTAATGTAAAGTTATTAATATATTAATCTGAATATTGATAAGGTACTCACTATTTTTAACGTCCGAAAGCATATCTTCAAATTGACAGTTTATTAAGTGAAGCATGGCATTGAATAACTGTATAGTATTTTTATATAAAATACCAGTTAGAAACATTAGTAAATAATGTGTGTACTCAAGATTGTATAAGTGAAATATTGTCACTGAAATATTTAAAATTGTAATAAAGAATACGGGGGTTCATCGACCACAATGCGCCTCTAGACGGTGTCTCAAAATTGACGATACGACTTGTGTCTTTTATGGAAATGTAAACATCGCAATTAATAAAAGCACCCCTAAGATAAATTAGAGGAATGCCAGATCTAGTTCTTGAGGATGGAACCTAGCGTTTTGTCATCCGATGTCGGAACGGCTGAGCCATTCATCCACACTTTAATTTATCAATTAATCTATTAATTATTTTATCTGCGAGTACTTATTCATTTAATGTTTTGAAAACGACTATAATTTGTTTAAAATATTACTTACTAGCTTTCGCCCGCAACTCCGTCCGCGAGGAATTCCAGACTATCCTCTACGTCTATGCCAATTGTCATCGAAATCCGTGCAGCCGTTTAGACTACAAACTCTAACAAACATCCATCCATCCATCTAAACTTTCGCATTTATAATATTTAGTAATATTACTATTAAAACTTACTATCAGTTTCCCTGTTTCCTATGTTGATGAAAGTAACGTAATAGTGCAGTAATATAAACGTAATAAGCGATAAATAATTGAAGATGAAAAGAGCTTGTTTTATTACATTCCATTGATCTCTTTCGTCCTTTAACAGTAGTTTTATCTAAAAAATAAATCAATATAACCTTCTATCTTTATTCACTACGAAGCTACAGGGGTGTCAAAAGTGCCCCGAAGCGCTTCGAGAAAATTGTGTTCAGCCGTGCTTGCCTTGGCGGGTGCATGCCGCGCACCCAGATTTGGTAAACGGCAACAACACATAGTTTTTAATAAATATAACAGTTTTAGCAAATAACGCTATAGTGCAAGCACATTGCAATTCATTGATATAAATTTACGGTACAGTCAGCCGCACAAATATGTATAAGTTGCGGTAAATGTAAGGTAAAAAAAAGCAAAAGCGGCAAAGCATGTGACTCAGTAATTGATAGTCTATATATTTGATAACTTAATTCGTGCTATTTACTTCTAAAATCATAGAAAAACTATCTGTTTTATGTATTTAAAATATACATTCGTGATATCTCTTCATAATATTAAAATGAATTTACGTAGCTGACTGTACATCTCCAATGTCGTACTAACATAAGATAGTTTTCTCAAAGATGACAGGAAGCAAACCTGATTAATTTCGTTTAAATAACTCATCAAATGAATTATTCGTTTCTCGGCACCAAAGCATCCGAATATGTACGTCACCAAAGAGTTTATTATGTTCATCGACCACAATGCGCCTCTAGAGGGTGTCCCAAAATTGACGGTACGACTTGTGTCTTTTATGGAAATGTCCCAAAACATCGCAACTAATAAAAGTACACCTGCAATTGTTTGTATTTAATATCAACGAGCTTCTATTATAGGCGAATAGGGGTACAATTCCGCGCCCTACATAGACATAGTGTCATCATCATCAGCTCACTATATGTCCCCACCGAGGGGCTCGGAGCCTACCCTAAATTTGGGTGACTAGGCCATAGTCAACCACGCTGGCTCAATGCGGGTTGGTTGACTTCACACATATCTTTGAATTTCTTCGCCAATAAGTGCAGGTTGCATCACGATGTTTTCCTTCACCGCAAGAACGTCGGGTAAATTATGTACATATGAAAATTCGTAAAATTGAAAATCACATTGGTACATGGCGGGATTCGAACCCAAGACCTGTAAATTACAAATCAAGTGCTTAAACCTCTGAGTCATCGACGCTCTCCATAGACATAGGCTGATAATGAATTTGTACACACATTTATGCTCTTGGTAAAGTATCCTGTTAGTTGTACGAGAACATACAAAGCAAAATATAACTCAGTTATCTTTACTTACAATGTATTATTGAGAATAAATATCCCAGATAGGTATAAAGGCGACATCTACTGATATAATATTGGGATCCCCGTTTTCGGATATGCACAGGAGCCAATCCGATCCAACGTTGTAAGCGAATAGTTAACAAAAAAACGCCGTTCACCTCACATTCTTCTACATTTTCACGGTAGATCGGCATTTTGCAATGTTTTAGAACTTTATATTTCACTTTAGAAAAAGTAAATGATATGGTATCCTGCTTTTAAATGTTAGATATATTCGTGTGATAATAAAACTGTGATTGTATGAAAGAGCTTTTACATTGTTATCAAAAGCTTTTATATCCATGCATTTTGCCTCAATTATAATACATTATTCCATCTCCCTGCTAAAACTTAAACATGGAAAGGTATAATTCCAATAATTTCACAAAAAAGATTTATTATCCAGATAAGTTTGATTAAAGCTTAGACCTAGATTCCTTTTACTGTTAAAAAGTAATGCCTTTGATTACAATTTTTAAATATAGTAATTGAGTTATATCGTTTTCAATCCATCCGTTTTCCGTACCATTCTTTTCCATTATGTTTGTTTTAATCACAAAGACACAAGACATCTTTAATAAGTAAACTAACGAGGAGATATTGGTTCGACTGCAACATGTTAGCTTAAAAGGAACTTAAAAGAACAACGTTAAAAAAGAGATCCCCGTCAAATTTAACTCCATTGAACTAGAATACGTTGACAGAGGACTAGAATTGACCTCAGGCACACATTTTTGTCAGATAATACTGGGATCTACCACTCCACTGCTCTACTTGTCTTATTAGTAACTTGACTTAACTTGAGTAGACCACAAGTATTCTTTTTGAAATAAAAAAATCAGTACTAGCCTCCCCCATTGATCATCATCTCTTTTACCACTAAAGATAATACTGTAACACTCAGAGTTGTTAAGTGGATACTATGAACCACCTTTAGTCTCAATTTACTATTACTTTGTCTAAATAAGTTAGATTAGTTTGACAATTAATTTCAAATTTAGTAGGAATGGTTGTGTAAAATCCGTCATGAATCTTATCGATTTTCGATTTTTATTCTTATAGAGTTGGAATCGATAGATTTATAATAATAACTTATGAAAAAATAACATTGTTTTCTCAAATTAATAATGACCATAACAAATAATGAGAGTAAATAAATGTTTATTACTACTACAGCCGTACGTAATCGAATTGGATTTCGCTATTATTTCTGTCATGGTTAAATTCTCTACAGTATAATCAATACTAGAATTGTCCTTTAAATTAGTTGAGTCCTTTGATTTGAGTCGAGTTCGATAATTATTTAAACCGAATATCGATATTTCAAAATTGTTCGCTACGCGTATTTGTTTCGGCACTACGATACCTGTCTATTAAGTACGGCATTTGCCCGAATACAAATTGAATTCGATACTTCATATGCGTCATTTATCAAACTAATCTATCTTATTTAGACACACTAGAAAGCATGTCCGGCTCATTTCAGCAATATAGCTGTTATTGCGACAATTAAAATTAAATTATTAGTAAGGTTAATAAAACTAACTATGTAACATTTTTATACGTTTATTTAGACAATCAAAATCACACACACTTTTGTATTTTTTAACAAAGATAAGAGGAAATTTTCTCATGTATTGTTACAAATTTTGCATACTCAACAAGAAATTGCAAATTATTTTGGTGCAATTTAACACTTATCAATCAAAACGCAATGCAATATTATTGTGCAAAGAAATTCAATTATTTTGTGATTATTATTAAAACTTTTACAAAGGTGTAAGAAGGATTTCATTCGAAGCAATTCAATGCAATATTCTTGTTGTATTCACAAATGGGTGCTGTAGTGTTGAACAATAATTGTTAAATAGGTCACCACGCCAACCATTATCTGTTAAAGAAAGGAATGAAATGCAGTTTTTTTAAATGTAAACAATGAAATTAAATTTTTATAATTTCGTGCGGATGATGCCGCACGGGGACAGCTAGTAATACATATTGGGAATTAATTTCTGCACGCTTGACGTCACTGCGCCAAATACTTACAATAGATAATTGACCTCTGTGAAGATTGAAAACACGCGCAGTAATAGTTGGCTTGTAAAGTTCGATTTGTTTATAAAATATATCCAACTCGAATGGAATCGGTTCACCAGCACTTGTTACGCTGTACATCAATTTGGTGACGAGAATCTGTGTTTCGTTCATCTGTAAATTAAATTGCATAGATATTATACTTGCCGTTGCGAGCGACTTCGCCCGAAATTGAAAAAAATGTAACCATACAGCCTATTTTACTCAGTGATAACATAGCTTTTTAAAGATGCAAGAGTTTTTGTAGTCGGTCCAGTAGTTTTTGAGTTATATAATACATACAAAAATACAAATCCGTCCTTTTTATATTACTAGCTTTCGCCCGCGACTCAGTCTGCGCGGAATTAAATAAAACAAAAGCAAGTTAGCCTATGTGTTCATTCAGACTATCCTCTACATCTATGCCAAATTTCATCGAGATTGTTTCAGCCGTTTTGTCTACAAACTCTAACAAACATCCATCCATCTAAACATTTGTTTATATTACGAGTAAGATAGTAAATAATGTATTGTGTAGATTACAAAGAGTAGGCGATGCATCTGAAATTGGGAATACATATATATGGGCGATCGTTTTTTTAGTGAACTCTGATGGCCGCTTTCTCCTTTGGCAACATATATTATAAAAAAAACTGTGAATAATACAAAAAGTGACTAAAAAAAAAAAGAAATACCCTTTCATGGACTCGATGACATGGCTCAATTAACACAAACATTGATACTAAGTGACAGATAAACCACATGAGATTGCCAATGATTCTAATATAGATATTTAACGTTACCGGACCACGGTCTGTAACAAATTATGAAGCTTTATCATTATTCATCATATTGAAAGCGTTAAATATGATTAATCTAAAAAACTCTAAGCGTAGAGCGGACGCACACCTTTGACTAAACTATCGCACAGCTGTTGTGCGATTGTCAATTGTTTCGCAACAAATTCAATTTTTTAATAGCACAACGAAAAATCGAGTAGTGTGCGCACCTCCATATAAACTTCGCTCGCTCTTTACATTCTGAATGGAATTTTATAACTATACTTAATTATATAATACTTCAATATTATTATAATAAAGCGTAAACACACACTTTGTTGCCTAAGCTGTCAGCAATTACAACATATTTTTGAATAATTCTTTTTTTAATAAGAAGCCCTACACTTACTTCGCGCTTAAGGCTACATATTTTCACGCCATGAAACTTACGGGGTAAATGTTTTGGATAAAAACCCTAATGTAAGAAAGAGACCATAAGTTGCTGCCAACATCAAGGAAGCAAGATTGCCAAGTTTTGACATGTCATGTCATTTTGACATATGCAATTGACAATTTGACACATGTAAATAATAAAATAAATTTATGCAGATGAAATCGCACGGGAACAGCTAGTATTTTATAAATTAGCCCTTCCCGTTCGGCTTTACCTACATGAAATTATAAAAACTTTATTTTATTTTTCACATTTTTCAAATTGTCAATTGCAAATGTCAAAATTCAAATGCAAAAATGACAACCGTGGCAAGCTTGCTTCCTTTATGATGTCAGCTTGTTGTTGATAGTCCTTTTCCCACATTAATGTTTTCCAACCGCTAAGTTTAATTGCGTAAAAATGTATAGCTTAATTGTGGGGCTTTTTATTAAAGAAAAATTATCCAAAAATATGCTGTGATTGCTGAAATCCAACGCCACAAAGTAGTGTGTTTACGCTTTATTATATTAGTATAAATACAGATAGATATAGAAGTATGGATATAAATATAAATAACCAGTTGTTGCCCGCGTCTACGTCCACGTGGAAATAAAAAAAATTATAGCCTATGGTCTTCAGTGATTACGTAGCTATTTTTTGGTGAAAGAATATTTGAAATCGACCAAGTAATTTTTGAGTTATTTCAAATACAAATATCTAGATCTTTCCCTTTTATAATATAAGTATAGATAATAATAATAATTCATTATTTTGTAATAAATTGATTACGTACCTTTTACAATCAGGTTTAACAAGTATTCGCCGGACATCAGTATATACAAGGGGATTACAAGCATAAGCATGCCAATCATCGTCGAGTTGTTGTCGTTAAAATTTTTAACAATATCGCACAGTGACATATAAGCTGTAGTCAATGTTTTGAAATATTTTCCTAGAATTAGTAACATTAAAACACATTAATTAAACTATATCTATATAACTTTACTTCTTTGCTAATATAATACGAGTAAAGCATAAAAACACACTAGTATGTAGGATAGTATCTCAGTTCAGTAGTAGTTCAGCTATCTCAGAATATTTTTGTATACTTCTTTTTTAATAAAAAGCCCATAAATTACGACACGCTTTAGGCTATATATTTTCAACCTATTAATTCAGTGGTAAATAAATTGTCATACGGGAAAAAGACAAATCTACAAGCCGATAGCATCAAAAAAGCAGGAACGCCATGGTTACGGTAGTTGTTATTTAATTAACAGTTTGACATACGCATTTGAAATTAGGCTCGTAGGCTCTTATTATTTCAATTGTATGAATCCATCGGAACAGCTAGTTTACTAAAATACGACGAAAAACAAGTTAAACACGGCTTAACTCATAGATCATTCGGCACCGACCAATTTTCGATCCCTCGAAGGTCTCTCCAGAGAGATCGTTTATTTTGCTTTCTTCATCTCTATAATCTTGTCGGTGCCGTCACCGGACGATCATACATGATTTAAGCCGTCCTTAACTAGCTTGTTGACCGACTGGAAAAAGGAGGTACTCAATTCGTCTGTTTTTTTTTTTTTGCATTTTAAATATAACTAACTTTAATCGATCGAGCTAAAATAGCAGTGATACAGGAATGGAATTATTGGACTGCAAAGGCAGAGCTAAAGTAAACAGTAAAATGACAATCACAAAGGCCTCTATACACCTACAGCTTTAATCAAACTGTTTAAATGTACATCATCATCACCAGCTCACTATTCGTACCCCCTGAGGGCCCGGAGCCTACCCTAAGTTAAGGTGACTAGGCCACAGTCAACTACGGTGACCAAGTGCGAGTTGGTTGACTTCACACATGTCTTTGAATTTCTTTGTTATGTGTAGGTTGTATCACGATGTTTTCCTTCACCGTAAAAACTTCTGGTAAATTATGGACATACGAAAATTCGAAAATCACATTGGTACATGGCGGGATTCGAACCCAAGACGCGTAGATTTACAAATCAAGTGCTGAAACCACTGAGCCACCGACACTCGACGCTCGCTCGCTGAATTGTATATAGCTGTTGCTTGAGACTTAGTCCACATTAATAAAATATACTGTGTTACTCACTGATAACGGAGCTATTTAATGGTGAAAGGATTTTCTTTAGCCAGCCAAGTAGTTTTTGAGTTATTACAATACAAAAATACAAATCTTTCCTCGTATATTACTATGGACTAATATAGATAGGAAGATTTCCTGATAACACCTGCATTATATGAAAGTTCACATGTTAACGCGTGAAGCCAAAACTAAAAACTGTAAAGTTTACTAAGAATGAAAATATTGCCTACACACGTAAATGTAATGTTAAGTAAAAACTTAAAGTGTGCAGCAAACTACAGAGAGAAGCGAAATAAAGAAAATCATCAAACAAACGGAACAAATGTTCTATTATCTAACAGATTTAAAACGAATATACAAACGCTTGAGATCACGAATTTGGATAAGTTCTTGTAACCCATTATTAATTGTCTTCACAACTGTCTCTATATCAAGAGCAACCAGAGATATTTGGGCGAGTATAAGAACAATCATTTTGTTCTCAAGGTGTTGTACTATTAAGCGCCAGTACTCAGTGTACACTGAAAGAAATTATCTGATTAAGAGTACGCGCACACCTTTGACTAAAATCGTACAACTGTTTTGACGCCTATTCCTACGAGCTTATACGAAGCACACTACTCGATTGTTAGTTTTGCTAAACAGTTGAATTGGCTGCGAACAATGGACAATCACCCAACAGTTGTGCGATTGTATAATCAAAGGTGTGCACCCGATCTAAATAATTACTTAAATATCTTTCCACAAGCGACTCTGGTACATAGTACGCCAACAAATCTCATACATATAGTAACGATGTCCTACTGACAATTAAAATTATACAGTCATACTCTTCAGTTAAATTAAAAGTGCAACAGGATCTGCAGTTGCGATCAAAACAAGTGGAAATGATATTAAGTCGCGCCAGTGGAAAGGTTTTAACAAAATAACTCCACGTTTAAGTCCACTTCATACGCTCTTATAGTTTCAACTGAAACATCAAACTGTTCAGTAAAAAGTGTGTGTGTATACAACATTTTTAACTGTCAGTTGAAATGTACTGTTGAAGTTTCCCCTACACGGAACATTTCAGTTAAATTATTTATTTACTAGCTTCATGCGACTCTGTTCGCGTGGAATTTAAAAGAAAACTAACAGACTATGGTTCTTCCAAACCATACTCTAATTCCGTGCCAAATTATATCGAAATCCGTACAGCCGTTTAGGCTACAAACTCTGACAAACATCCATCCATCTAAACTTTCGCATTTATAATATTAGTAAGATTATTTTATTTATTAATTCTGAACGTCTGTAGAGTGATTTAGAAGTAAGTTGTACTTGGCATACCAGTTTTGCTATAAATATTTGCCCAAATATTTAAGATCAAACTGACGTAGGCTAAGACGTAGGCCCAGATCACAAATTTCTTAATTACGTCGCTAAACGGATTTTTGAGGTCTTCCAGTTTTGTATTGATGCCCTTGTGAACCTAAAAAACAAATTTATTTATTACTAACTTCCGCCAGCGACTCCGTCCGCGTGAAATTAAGAAAATAATACAAAACATAGCTTATGTTACTCATTGACAACCTAGCTTTATAATGGTGAAATGTTTTTTGAAATCGACCCAGTAGTTTTTAAGTTATTTCATTACAATCAAACAAAGTTTTACGCTTTATAATATTAGTATTGATTTCAATTAAACTTAAGTTCACATGCCCGTTACCCACCGGTTATAATTGTTAAAATTTTGCATATAAAATCAAATTTTTTTTATAATATAAGGTGGCAAACGATCAAGCGGCCACCTGAATCCACCGAAATGGAAAGCGACCGCTGCCCATAAACTACGAGCGCAAGCACACCTTTGACAAAACTATCGGACAACTGTTTCGCTTAGATTCATATGATATTATACTCGAATTTTGGTTGTGCTGCTAAACAGTTAAATGTGCTTGGAAACAATCGACAACCGCACAATAGTTGTGGCGATAGTTTAGTCAAAGCTGTGTGCGGTATCTATGAATAAAATAAAAATATAAATACATTATGAAAATATAGTTAACAACCTTTTGTATGTCCTTCAAGCAACTTATCATTTCTTCCATTCGACACTTCAGGCGGAACGTTCCATAGGTAAACAAAACTGTTTGTGTCACAATTATAATGCCCCATACAATGGCAATTAGCAATAAGCTGAGTTCAGGAGTTTTTTTTGAATTCAAGTCGGTCGCAAGCATGTTCGCTGCTAGTACAACATACCCCAATGTATCTAAAATAAAATGTAGTTATATTATAATTGTAATAATTATAATAATAATTATTATAATAAAGCGTAAACACACACTTCTTTGTTGCCTAAAATGTCAGCAATTACAGCATATTTTTGAATAATTATTTTTTTAATAAAAAGCCCTACACTTACGTCACGCTATAGGCTATATATTTGCACGCCATTAAACTTATTTTGGATAAACACCCTAATGTTTGAGACCATAAGTTGCTGCCAACATCAAGGAAGCAAGATTACTAAGGTTTGTGATGTCATTTCGACATTTGCAATTGATAATTTGACAAACGTAAACAACAATATAAAATTTTCATAATTTCATGCGGATGAAGCCGCACGGGAACAGCTAGCTAAATATAATTCAAAAACTATAACTAGATAAACATTTAATTTACTTAATAATACTTAATTAAACACAATAATTCGTTGACCAAAAATTATAAAATAATTTCTACAGGTGATATGTCTGCTTACTGAGTATACAAAAAAAGATTTTGCAGTATAGTATTGTTCCATCAGATATACGGACGCTGTAGGAGTCCCCTTGTCGCTCCAAGACCACTCCAGCTACGCCCATCACACGTGACAAACGCAATACGGTCGCTAAAGTGCCCCTCACTAAACACACGTCTTCGTTTGTCGACGCCATTTTGACGAATGAGTTAAAACAAATTCCACAATTCCAGGACGTAAACTATTGTTAATTATACATTTAATGTAACTTTTATTTTATCTATACAAGTAATAAAAATATTACAGATATGGTAGGCTTTTTAAATTAATTATATGTTTCAAGATATTTTTGATTAATGCACTGATATTCCTTTTTTATATAAACGAAAGTTATAATTATTTTTGTTGTTGAATCTATTTACTTTGCTTTTATTATTAAAAAAATGTGCGGTTGTAAAATTACAATGTAAAATAGACTGCCGGCATCATTTAGGATCTAAAGGCTCATTCTTGGCTTGCACTGTCTGAGTTTCCTGATAAAATTGTACTCAAAATTAAGATATTAAGGTATCCCAGGAAAAAGATAGGCAACCCAAACTTAGAATCATATTTACGTTATATAGTTAGTATCGATTCGTGTCAAAATTTTCAGAAACTCGATGAATTGCGTTGATTCCAAAATCACTAAGAGATCAATTAAATATAGCGTTGCCAGGCAAGGGTTAGGCAACCCGGTTTTTTTTTATATAAGAAAAGCGGGCAAACGAGCAACGGATCGCTTGATATTAAGTTATCCGACGCCCATGAACATCCGCAATGCCAAGGGTACTGCAGATGCGCTGCCGGCCTTTAAGGGAGGAGTAAGCTCTTTTCTTGAAGGCCCCTAAGTCGTAACTGTTTGGAAATACCGCTGAGGACAGAGTGTTCCACAACGCGACTGTACGAGGTAAGAATGTACGTGAAAACCTCGTCGTTGTGGAATGCCAACCATCAAGGTGGTATCGATGATGTGTGGCACTCTGTCGACTCGTGCGATGACGGAACTCAGCGGCAGGTATAGTTCCAAACAATTCTTCGGTTACATTACAAACTTTTTACAAACTTTTGAAATTTCATATATTAACATAGATTTTCAGGAAATCTGATGAGGGTAGGTCAAACCTTTTGGATCTCAGTCTATTAACATTAAGTAACGTTATTGTAAGGATTAATTTTCTTAACACTTCATTTTAATGTTTGTTATCGAAAAGTTAGTCAAAAAAGGAAAATACAGTTATATTTTTAAACTATTTTATTAATCACAACACACATTATGCTTAAAATATTAGGGTGAGATTAAATTACATTTCAAAAGTTTAAAGCCATTTAATGTCGTGCATTTTATCAAATATCAATAAGATAACATTATACTAAAGTGTCTTCTCCTTATAAGAGTATACGAAGAGCAGGGAGACTTCCCCTAGCTGGGTCGTGGATAAACTAACATAAATGCCACGGCCCGTTTGGGCGAAGGAGACCATCACGGGGTTTAGTGGGTAGTCCAGCCGAAATGTAAGACCGGGAGTCCCACACGAAACTGTCCCTGCTGCCTCCGCAGCACAGACAGAGCAGTGCGTAAATGCATTCTCCGCGACAACAAAAAAAAATTGGAGTATAAGAACAATAATTTAAACAACTATAGAATTTTAACTTCATTAACTCCAATCATTCAACGGATTGATTATAATATTTTAAATATCTTGGCAGCTCTGAACTTCCCATGAGTTGCTGCACTAATGCGCAGCTGACCTTGAGCCGCCAAAATGATTGAAACTGCCTATACTTACCATACGATAAATTGAGGTTATATTACTAATAAAAAAAAAAAACATTTTCCCTTTAAGTATGCTTATTAGTAAATCCGGTATCCAAATTAAAATCTATAAATATAAACAAGTAACTGATGATTCCGCCCATTACCTGAAAAAGACCACATTTTTTTAAAAACGATGTTCTTTTTTGATAGTCACCCTAACTTGACAGTGGTAGTGCCCGCTTTAACATCTTCGCACGAATGGGCCGGCTCGCCCGGTATAATACCATGACCACACAGAAAACAGGCGTGAAGTGGAAGCAATTCCGCGTCTCGTCTGAAGAGTGTGGTGCCGGAGGCCTAATTTGAGTCCCTTTCCCTTTCCACCCTTTTCTTAAGAGGAAAGGATGGGAAGGAAAAGTGAAAGGAAACGCATAGGAAGGGGAAATCTCCTCTTTATGTGCGTCTCCTCCTCTGTCAATTAAGGGTAGACAACACATCTACAAATGCGGATGTTTATGGGCATCGGTCGCTTTCCATTTCGGTGGATTCAGGTGGCCGCTTGCTCGTTTGCCACCTTCTATTATAAAAAGAAACTTAGGGCAGACTCCGAGCCCCTCAGGGGAGACGTACAGTGAGCTGGTGATGATGATGATGATGATGATATTCTTTTAAGACTATTTCTGTAATTATTGTGATAACATTACGTTTTTTATTAGTACAGTAGTACCTCGATAACTCAAACCTCGGTAACTTAAAACCTCAATAACTACAAAAAATAATATGTTCCCTTCCAGTCAGAGCCTAAAACCTCTACAACATAGACCCTTGATAACTTAAAATATTTTGTGTTTCCCTTAGACTTTAACTTATCGAGGTTAACTGTACTCGTATGTCGGTTGAGAAAACTCCCGCCTCCCGGCAACCTGATGAGTTAGTGAGTTTAGTTTTTATGTCATATATTTTACATAGTTTATTGAATTACCGTAAACATAAAGTTGTGGTTCAACTGGAACAAGCCGAGTGGTGAGTAGTGAACATTGTCTAGACGTAGGCGGTGATAATAACTGTCCAAGATATTGTAGAGCGGGTCGTTACTCTTTGCGACATGGCTCATGAGGCAACTCACTAGTCTCTTGGATTCTGTCCTCTGTAAGAAATTAACACATAGTATTGTGTATCTAATAGAAGGATCCATAGATACAGTAATGTTTGTAATTTCAAAATATCGGAAGAAACCTAATTATTTCTAATATTAGGCAGAGGTTAGGTTCATTACAAGTTGCAAGGTAGTTTATATAATTGATATCTGAAATACGGCACACGAAGGTGATTTTAGACGATAAGACGTCAACTGACCTATTAATTTGGCCCAACTATAATTGCATTGTGAGTGTCAAATCACCTAAATAGATTGGAAATAAACGTCTCCAAGTCTCATTTGATCTAAGAATAAGTTGTTTAAGTTCTATACAATATGCAAGTGAAACTATGTAATTTAAGTGATTGTCATAAATGTATATTATTAAGACGTACATACCTCGCTCGTGGTTCGCTCACAAGCATTGACAATTTTCACAATGTTAATGGTAACCCAAAAGAACCAAAAGAGTTGAGTGCAGTAGAAATATATCCAGTAAGTAGTATTTTCTGTAAAAAATGTAGTCATTGAAAACTATTTATTTAACCAATTAATAAAAGTTTTATTAAGGATTTCTTTTATTACGCTGTTTTTAACAAGCAAACAGGTAACTAAATACTCTAAAATAGTGAAGTGGACGTAGAAAGAGGATGTTTTTTTTTTATTCCAAGTAGACTAGAATTTGGCCTCCGTGTTTGTCAATTGTGACACAGTCCAGCCATTATAACAAAAATAAAAAAAGCAAAATATGACGCTTATAAATGGGAAAGAATATACAATGTCATGTTATACTTTAGCATTTTTAACTACGAAGCATTTTTAATAATGACACTTCTCATCTAATTTATCAGACAATATCAAAGTATACTACCTGCTTCAGAAAGAGTTGCAATCGAGTTATAGCTTACTTCCATGATGCACATCACGTAAGTATAAATGACACAGAGCATCAGCATTCCATCTCTCTTATTGCAGCGAGCAATTAGAACACAGATGCGGTCTTGCTGGCGTAACAACTGGTGCAGATTCTCTTCTTTTTCTTCTGATAAAGCTGACGCTATACAAAAGGGCATAGCACAGATGTATGCAAAATTTATCAAATTAAATATTACATCTATATCTATACTATTGTAATAAACCGTAAACACACACTTCTTTGTTGCCTAAGATGTCAGCAATTACAGCATGTTTTTGAATAATTCTTTTTTTAATGAAAAGCCCTATGGCTTTTACGATAAGGCTGCTCGTGAACAGCTAGTCTGTAATACGAGTAAATGTAGCATATAATGAGAAAACGAAGTAAAGCATAAAGAATACGGATACGCAAATATAAAGTGAATAGGAAATGCAAATATTGGTCAATAATAATAGATTTGGTTTTACGTGGTGAAACTGCTCAACCTGAACGCAATAAATGTATGCGAGATTTTTTAAAAAAAACCAGTAGATCTTTCTTAATTTACTAATATTTCCTTTCACCATTCCAACTAAGCTCTAGGTTTGTGCTAGGATATGGTTCACTCGAGGGTACGAATGGCAGGATTCGTTCTCTCGACCGCGAGATAGTCCGTACCCCAAACCATTTGGCGCTTCTAGAGAATAGAAGAATAGAAGAATTAGAATTATAATAAAGTTCGCTTCGTTTCGCTTTTCGTTCGCTTTACATCTGTGTGTTACAGACGTAACAGAGAAAACACAAACCTGGTCTCTTTAATTCCGTTATTCCGAGTTGATCAATTGCTCTGTTGACTGATTTTGTTGAAACCTTTAATGGCGGATCCTCGCCTTCATTCATTTCTTCTTTGTTTTTGGATACATCTACAGAAATATTGATTAAACATTAATATTTGTCTTCTGAATTGAAAGGATTTTCCAAAGCGTGTTTTAATTAATTTTACAGCATTACTTACTATTTTCTACGTTCAAACGTATATCTTCAAGTTCACAGTTTATTATGTGTAACGAAACATTAAATAACTGTACAGTATATGTATATAATATACCAGCTAGAAACATTTGGAAATACTGTGTGTTCTCAAAACTATTTAGGTAAAAAATCATCACTGTAATTTAAAAAAAATATATTAAAAACACATTTTACCAGTTCGTTATCCATCCATTTATCACTATATCTAGTCTATATTTTTTTGACCGAATTCCCAAAAGTAGGAGGTACTCAATTCGTCTGTATCTTTTTTTATGTGTGTTACGGCATATCTCCGCCGCTAGTGGACCGATTTTGATAATATTTTTTTTATCCGAAAGGTAATACTTGCAGGTGGGTCTCATTTTTTTGTTCGATTTTTGGAGTCAAAGACTACAACGTAGTTACATTTCCATCATTCGTCCATCCATTTATTCATGCATATGATTCTATCTACTTCAGTTGTCTCCTTTAATGTTATGAAATTGAGTATAACTTGTTTGGAATAATGTTAAAACAACTTACTCTCTGTTCCCCTTTTTGATTCGTTCAAAAAAGCGACGTAATATAGCAACACAACAAGCATTACGAGACATGAATAATTAATAAATATTGAAGATACGTTTCCAATTTTCTTAGATTGATCTCTTTGGTTCTTCAGAAGTAGATTTATCTAAAAATATTCATATGTCAATCTATCAAAATATAATATCAAAGTAATTTAATTTAACAGACAAAATAGATGAAAACTGCATATTGCCAAATCGATTTTTTTAATGTAGAAGAAAAGCCTATGTAATGTTTTGTTCATTAATTGCTTTTTGACTACAATTCTTCGATCACCAATAAATTTCTCGAAGCTAAAATTTAGGCAACATAAAACTATTACTTCTAGCCTTCCAAAGTCTTCTAGACAACTGGAGCGTAAATGACTCTAAAGCGTAAACTGTAGAACATTGCAAGCCATAACGTAACAGTACATATCCGCTGTCGTTGCACTTGTAATAAAATATAGCAGTTTCTGTTTTATCAAAGACAAAAGAAATAAAAACCGGCGTCTAAGGTAACAAATATGACAGAAATCAAACCTGATCAATCTCCTTTAAACAACTCATCAGATGAAGTATTCGTTTCTCGGCCTCAAGGCAACCAAGGAGGCACGTTCCCGTACAAATAACAACGTTCATCAACCACAATATGCCTCTAGACGATGACCCAAAAGAGACCGTACGACTTGTGTCTTTTATGGAAATGTCCCAAAACATGGCAAGTAATAAAGGTCCACCTGCAATTGTAGATTGTATTTAAAAAAAAACAACCACTATTGCCCCTTCAGGGAAGGAAACAACATTTTTCTACTAGCTCTTACTATCGGCTGGGGGGNCAGCCGATAGTTAGAGCTAGTAGACTACAAAGTAGTCTACAAAGTAGTCTACTAGCTTTAGTTGTACTTTGTATTAGCCAGACTACTTTGGAAGGCATTGGGAAGAAATAAAGTCCAGCAGTAGATTTATGTCTACATGGTGTTAAAGATGACAAGTCTCCTGTCAAATGAGAACATACAAATCAATAATTTTACAACTCCTTACTCTTTACTTACAATTTATTATTGAGAATATATATCCCAGATAGATATACAAGCGACATATACTGACAAAATATTGGGATTCTCGTTTTCTGATATGCACAGGAGCCATTCCGAACCAACGCTGCAAGCGGATAGTTAACAGAAAAGCGCCATTCACCTCACATTCTTCTATATTTGCATGGCGATCGACCGGCATTTTGCGATATTTTAGAACTTTCCACTATATACAAAAGTAAATGGTATCGTAGCCTGACAGATTTTAAATGTAAGATATATTCGTGTACATAAAACTTTGATTGTATAAAAAATTATTACACTGTTATTAAAAATTGCTTTTATTTTTAATGCATTTTGCCTCAATTATAAGCATTATTCCATCTTCTTATAAATGGAAAGGCATACAACAAAATCAGATAAGTTTAATTAAAGCCTAGGACCTAGATTACTTTTACTGATAAAAATAACGCCCCTGATTACAGTTTATTAATATTGCTTATTGATTTGTGACGTTTTAAGATCCGTACGTTTTCCGAGCCCCTCAGGGGAGTCTTTAGAGAGCTGGTGATTATAATGACCCTTTCATGCATCCCTCCATCCATCCATTCATCTAAACTTTCGCATTTACGAGTATAATATTATTAAGAAGTAAGATAAGACTAGGTGGTATGTGTTGCTAGTTTTGGGGACTACTAAAGATGGTATACCTAAGATTTACTGCTGAACTCAGAGTCTTCAATAAGTCATTAGTAAACATTTTGTATACGTCTATATTATAGAGGACATTTTAACGTTGTTTGCACCAGTTAGAAAGACTTTAGAAGAAGTAAAAATAACTTGTGCTGTGTAATAGGTTAAAAAAATGACGCCACAGATAAGGCAACAAAGTCCGATATTTCCATGACATGTTTTACACGTTGGATTGCTATCAGACAATTTACAGTTTGGTGGGACAGGCCCTTAGTAAATAAAATTCATAAATATTTTATACGAGCTGTTGCCCGCAACTTCGTCCGCGTAGTATTAGAAAACATACGAACTATATAAATTACAAATAGTTACGTATCCCTCGGGAACCAGACATTTCTCGTGGATGAAGCTTATCCCATGTGTACTCCAGACTTTATTTTATATATTATTTATTATTATTATTATTTTTTTTATTATTATTATTATTATTATTATTATATCTGTGCCAAATTTCAATAAGAATCGTTAAACCGTTGCAGAATGATCGAGTAAACATTAAAAGACTAAATTAATGAATCCCACGGGAACCGTAACTATTCCCGGGATAAAAAGTAGCCTATGTGTTCTTCCCGAGTATGCTCTAAATCTGTACCAAATTTCATGGAGATCCGTTCAGCCGATTAGGCTACAAACGCTAACAAACATCCATCCATCCATCTATCCATCCATCCATCTAAACTTTCGCATTTATAATGTTAGTAAGATAAGAAGTAAGATTAGTAAGATTTATTACAAAGGTGTGCGGTTGTAATAATTAGAACGCGCGCGATGCGATTAAATGTATATATATAGTATATATATATATATAGTATGTTCTAATAAATAACACTATTTTGTCCTATCTAACAAGTGCTCACTACTCGATTTTTAGTTCTGCAAACAGTTGAATTGTCTGCGAAACAATCGACAATCGCACAACGATTGTGCGACAGTTTAGTCAAAGCTGCGCGGTTGTAAGAATTACAATATTAAATACAGACAAAGAATAAAATTCCCTTCCCACGAAGTAAAAATTACCGTATAGTATAAGAGCTATATAATGTAAGTGTGTACTTAAGATAATTTTTTGAAATAAGTTGCATTGTCTACCAACATTTTACTAAATGGATGGAAATAAACGTCCTTAAATTTACTTTATGGTAAAACTAATTATGGTAAATGTTTCTTGTCTATTCATGTTACAAGTTCTATTTCCTGTTAGGTTATCTAAAGTAGACCGTACGTTAAGCCATCATAAACGTTAAGGACATCATAGCTACAGTTCACAAAATGAAATATACACATTTTTTAATATTTCATTTCGTGATTGTTTACGCTGGAGGTAAGTTAAGTTACATTAATTATTTTAATGACATATAAATGTAAATTAGACTATCACATCTTTTAGAGAATGGTGTTAAGAATCTTCATGTAACATCTAGAAGACAAATTGAAATTTAGAGTCCTTATTCTAATAAATAACTAACTAACTACAAGTTTTAGCTAAAACTACTCAACTAACTCAAAAGGCTTTATTTGAAATTTGCGAAACGTCGAAATTAAAAACCTTATTTATACTAATATACTAAAGTGTAAACAATCACTTCTTTGTGGCGTAATATGTTAGCAATTACTAGCATATTTTTAAATAATTCTTTTTTTAATAAAACCACCTACATTTACGTCATGCTTTAAGTTATATATTTTCACGCTATTAAAGTTAGGTGGTAAATAAATTGGATAAAAACCCTAATGTGGGGAAAGACTATACGCTACTAACTGCCATCAAGAACCAAGTTTGCCATCGTTGTCATTTGTTAATTTGAATTTTGACAATTGTAATTAAATTAAAAATAATATAAAGTTATTATAAGTTCATGCGGATGAAGCCGCATGGAAACAGCTAGTAAGCATTATAATTAAGACTTAAGTAACTATACTTGTGAATTTAAAACTTCGTAACAACGATTTCAGATCTCGCTGAAAGAACTGTCAACAATCGCGATCAATACAAGAACATATTAAAAACGGTTCCAGTTCTTCTCGAACATCTCATAGATATTTTACAATATAAACCACAAATATTAGAAAAAGATGACATAAAAATATTCACTATAGAAAGCCCTAGAAAATACGATATTGATAATAAAAAAGATTTTTATATAACAAACAAGAAAGAAATCAAAACATCCAATGATCACAAAAAATTATCCCACAAAGAAGCAAACTATTCATTCTATAATACAAGTGAACATATAAAAAAACACCTGCCTGTAGTAAAGAAGTATATTGTTAAGAAAGACGTAATTCTTAATGAAATGTCGCAGCGTAAGAATTCAAATAATTATGAAACAAAACTCTCTAAATTCTGCAATGAAAGCAATTATTATAAGAATGATTTTGCAACTAATAACAAAGAGAGTGCATTCGTCTTCACTTTATTTAACAACACCGATGTCAAAGCAAGAATAGACGATGTAACTACAAATAATTTTATTCCACTTACAGCAGAGAAGATAATTGAAATGACTTTTGCAGTAGAAACACGCTTAGAAGAATATAATAAGATTTTTTAAATGCTGCTTCTCTTAAAGGACTTTCCCGTAAATAAAAAAATATGCCATTTGTAGGTTTTGTCCTTTGTTCTTACTAATGCTCCATGAATATTTCACAGGTTTAAAATGATTTACTAAAGCTACAATCTTCTTTTTCTTCGTTTCTTCATTGCTGAAGGTCGTGCTTGCCCTGATAAGCATTTACCGAGTCATCGACGAGCTGCCTCCATACCGCCCTGTCTTCGGCTTGTCTCAGGGCAGTGGGGATGTTGAGTCCCAGTATGGACTGAACCTCGGTCCATCGGGTAGGTGAACGGCCCCGTGACCTTTAGCTAAAGCTACAATAATTATTGTTAATTTACAACACATTTTACATTAAATATTAATACGGTTAATTGTTTATTTAGTTAATAAATATTGCGTATTGAATAATATTTTATTTTGCCTCCGCATTTTCTTTTATTTCAACACAGACAAAGTCGCAAGTAGCAGCTAGTTAAATTTAAAGTAAACAGACTCTATATTTAAGTGCTATATTGCCCGAGTGGTAGACAAAGTAAGGAGTAAACGGTTAGCATGGTATGGGCATGATATAAGGAGGGATGAATTGCATGTTACAAGGAGAACGTTAGTTTTGAGTGTGGTAGACCGGTAGAGGTAGACCTAGAAAAAGATGGATGGATTGCGTGACAGGTGACATGATCAAAAAGGGAGAGATGACTGAGATGAAGTATGATAGAGTTATGTGGAGGACAAAAACCTGTTATTCCGCTACTGGAGTAGGATAAGGAAGAAGATGATGAGATCACCAAATAAGTAAAACAAAACATCAAAATTATTTCTCGGAATGTTTATTTTCGAATTTTAAATACATTTTTAATTTAAAACTGTTTTACTTTCAGTACCTGCTTTTAAAGGTCTTAATATAGCTTGAAAAGTACCAATCAATACTTGAGCATTTCCTTCCGGTGTAGCCTGTCGTTTAATTCTCAAATTATTATTATTTGGATCTTTGTATCCAACATTTTTAGAATTCTTTTGTTCTCTTATATCTGTAACCGTTGTCCAAATAATAAACTCGTCATCTTCATTATGCTGTAAAATGTTTTCAGATATTATATTTTCTTTGTCGTTGAAATCCATTCTTGTAATAGGATAGTTATTGTCACGTTCTACATCAATTAGATGAATTGTGTTAGCAATATTAACAATCAAACATAGATGTAAAGTAAAAAGAAACATTTTCGTTGTTAACCAGTTAACTGACTACAAGAAACTGCGTTAAGTAACGATGTGCAGGCACTTTAAGAGCCTTTTATTTTTAAAACTAATCGATCATACTTACTTTAATATTATCTTACTAGTATTATAAATGCGAAAGTTTACATGGATGGATGGATGTCTGTTAGAGTTTGTAGCCTAAACTGGTGAACGGGTCTCTATGTAATTTGGCATAGATGTAGAGGATAATCTGGAACACATAGGCTACTTCGTTCTGTTTTTTATTAATCACACGCGGACGGAGTCGCGAGCTTAAGCTAGTATTAGCATAATGTGCAATTTAAAATTCGAACAAATGACATTTTAACGTTCAAGAGACACGTTTCCATAACTAGATAGTGTGGCAATTAAAATTCTACTTTTAAAGTCATTCTAGTCTATTACAGGATCCTTTGAACGTACGAAGACACAGTAAAAAAATAATTTATTCGTCTTCTAGAGTCTAACTGGTGAAAACAAGGTTAAAATGTCCTCTATTATATAGACGTATGCAAAATGTTTAATAATGACTTATTGAAGACTTTGAGTTCAGCAGTAAATCTTAGGTATCCCGTCTTTAGTAGTCCCCAAAACTAGCAACACATGCCACCTAATCTTATCTTGCTAATACTAATATTATAAATGCGAGAGTTTAGATGGATGTTTGTTAGAGTTTGTAGTCTAAACAGCTGAACGAATATCGATGAAATTTGGCATAGACGTAGAGGATAGTCAGGAAGAACACTTTTTTTTTAATTCCACGCGGATGGAGTCACGGGCGAAAGCTAGTGTTAGCATAAATTATCTTAAAGAAGTGACTGTACACTCATAAAATACGTTTTTGTATATTGTAAAACTCATTGTAAGTTTAAATATAAATCGGTTTCTCGAAATACGTATTTGAACAACAAATGACGCAGAACGAAACGAACACAATCTTTCAAAGCTAACCGTTAGTACTACAGAAGCTATCGTCACCGCATGGTACGCCCTAAATTATTTCTATACAATTTGTATCAATACAAAAACTACTTTATTCGTAAAGTGTCTATTAAATGACAGTTTGTATTCCATTTTACGTGAAAATACACGTGACGTTGTTATATATTAAAAGTAAATTACCTTAAATATTCAATGTGAAAGTAGAGGTAAGTTTTAACGAATCTGGTTACTTTTTATTTAGTGTTACTTTTCTATAAAGTGCTACAAACATTGATTGAAAACATATATATGAACATGTTAAAACGTAATTAGGGTGTAAAAGTTTATAACGTTAAAATCCAAAGCGTTTGAAAAACAAAAAAACAGTTTGCATTTGTCTCAAGAAGGAAGTGTGGACGGTTTTAGTTTTAACATCCTGAAATATGCTAAGTATATATTTTATAATTAATTAATTTTATCATTCATCGTCTATCCTTTCTTATTTCTTAAATGAAACAAGAAAGGGACAAGAAAATATATTCATATGACAAAACACATTTTACGACAATTATAATCATGCTAAATAATAAATTTAAGATGGATGGCATGTTAGTCATTCTCTTCAAAACAGCTTAACAGATCTAGATAAAAACATCTGAACTATGTAGATAATATAATGGCAGAACACATAGGTTACTTACTGATTTTTTTTTAATCCCGTACGGACGAATTCGCGGGTAATAGCTATCCGTATTTCATAGTAACAACAAATGCGAAAGTTTAGATGGATGGATGGATAGATGGATGTTGCTTAGAATTTGTAGCCTAAACGGCTGAACGGATCTCGATGAAATTTGGCATAGAAGTAGAGGATAGTCTAGAACACATAGGCACTTTTTTATTCCATGCGGACGAATTCGCGGTCAAAATATTATTTTCCGTAACCTACAAATATACGTCCCTACAATATTGCCATTTCACACCTCAACAGATAAATATGTCAGTTTTGATTCAGCGGTGAAACATCTGCCGCTAATTGATGTTTTGTTTACAACGAGAACAATGTCATATAACAGTGAGTTTCCACTGCACTCTTGATTTCGTCTTTAGAAAACAATAACGGACTTAAAAAAGTGTTTGTATGCTGATTTTATAGAACTTTAACTTCGATTTTCGTTTAATAATTGAATTATCGACTAAAAGCGTGCAACAGACGATTGCTCAGTTACAACTGAAGAGTCCAACTGTTCAATGAAAACTGCGAGTGTAGACAAACCTATATGAACATCGCAACTAATTCTACAGCGGGCTTTAATTATGTTCTAGTTAAAAATGATTATTCCAAAAGCAAATCTTATAAACATTACTGCGGAAGAATAGATGGATGGATGTATGTTAGAGTTTTAATTTTTCATAGACATAGAGCATAGTCTGGAAGAACACATAGGCTACTTACTTTTTGACCGACTTCCCAAAAGAAGGAGGTACTCAATTCGTTTGTATGTTTTTTTTATGTATGTTACGACATAACTCCGCCGCTAGTGGACCGATTTTGATAATTTTTTTTTTATCCGAAAGGTAATGCTTGCAGGTCGGTCCCATTTTTTTTGATTGATTTTTGGAGTCAAAGACTACGACGTAGTAAAATAGTTTAGCTCAAAATCGTGCGACGAAATTTAGGGTCATTTTTGAATACCACACAGACAGAGTCGCGGGCGACAGCTACTTCATATTCGATATGAAGTTAGTATACCTCATATATATCACGTTCATAACATTAGGTTGTAAAACACTGTATTATGAAGTGTTTTCCAAGAGATAGGCAATTAAAGTTTTTCTATAACTATGATCGATACGACAGCTTAATAAACTCGCTTCATACTCGTGGGATAGCAGTTTGTTCGTGTAAAAATCGCGGGAAGGTTGCCTCTGGCTGTGTATACTTAAATTCATCGAATTAATTAAAAAAAATATCGAGTTGTAAAGTGTATCATTAAGTGCAATTGTAAAGTGATAATCATAAAATCAGCATACTTAAGCTCTTGTATATTGTTATCTCTCTTTGTTCAAAGAGAAATGAAGCGATAGCAATATTTTAAACAAAACTTTCGATAGGACCTATAGTTACATTGTATGACGACGAAACGAATACAGTGATCGTAAAATGCAATTAAATTTACCACTATCGTACTTTATATGAGTTCAGTGCTTTAATAAAACATTTTTAACTTAAATTGTCTACAATTTTAGTGATGAATAAAGGTATTTACTCAGCTTACTTATGGCCGGTCTCCGAGCTACATTTAACCATTAGTATTTTTGGTTCGATAAATTCATGAAATGCACTTCCGAATTACTTAACTTGAGTTTTACTGCTTTGAAACATAAGTCAACCTAACTATAATGAATCGCTAGGTAATGACAAAATAACCGCAAACTTCAGAAACACAGCATTAGTTAGATATACATTTACACACAATTCAGCCGTTAACAAATCAAATTGGAATTCCCTACTGTCCACTCTTTGTCGATATTTTGAGGTTATTATTGTACTTACTCCAAATTACAACACAAGTAATAAATTACGAACTAACGTAACCCATTCCTATTTAAAACGATTTAAAACGATTTGACGTTTAAAACGATTACTCAAAACCTGTCGTTCATACTATACGTCGTAAGAGCTAATTGCTCGATATGAATGCTAAGGGCCTGTCCCACTAAATTGTAAATCGTCTAATAACATTCCAACGTGTAAAATATGATATGTGATGGTAATATCGGTTTTTGTTACCTATCTGACAGTGACGTCATTTTTAAGCTATCTGAGCCTCTATCAGCCAGTGGTGGGAGAGACCCTTATAGTTCACAGTTCACTGCGAGATATGTTACTACGAGTATATCAGGTTTCATTCAGATTTCGGTAAATTTAGACTCGTCTTTATGGGTAAGTTGTGGTTTCTTGAATAAATGACAACTGATTTTATACTATACTAGCTTTCGCCCGCGACTACTTCTACGTGAAATTTAAAATAAACAAAAGGGAATAGCCTATGTGTTCTTCTAGATTATCCTTTATATCTATGCCAAATTTCATCGAAATTCCTTTCAGCCGTTCAAGCTACAGACTCTAACAGACATCCATCTTAACATTCGCATTTATAATATTAGTATGAAAGTATGAGTGTATCTTTCGATTCGTATTCAAATTTACTCCCTAGAGTTGTTCTTAATCTTGTAGGCGTGGAACCAGATAAAGTGGCGCGAGAGACTGGCGCTGCGGCCGGCGAGACAGGCGCGGCCGCGGGTGATACTAGAGTCATGCACTGTGTCGTCGGCGGCGCACATGCTATCATTCTCAGGGTAAGGAAAACTGTTAATAAAGCTAATAAAAAAGTAAATGAATAAAGACAGTCCGTAGCAGCATGGTATTGCTATCACGGTTCTAAGAACTCGCGACTCTAAGAGCGGGCGCATACCTATGCGAGAGTCAAAATGGCGGGTGTACCATAGCGAATTAATTTATAACACTTACTTAAAAAATGTACCTAAATTGTACTAGTTAGAACCTCGCTCAAAAAAAAATAGTACCTTCTCTAGAACGAAATTACAGCGAAATTAACTTACACCCGCCATATTGACGTCAATATGGTGGGTGTAACTTACTGAATAGTACAATTTAGGAACATTCTTTTAGTAAGTGGTATAATTTAATTCGCTATGGTACACCCGCCATTTTGACTCTCACATACCTATAACTAAACTAACGCTCAAATGTTTTGCGATTGTCAATTGTTTCGCAGCCAATTCAACTGTTTAGTTGCGATAGTTTGCGACAAGATCGTAATTTATAACAGTATATATTTCCAGGTATCCAGTTTCTTTGGTCTGGCTCCCCTGCGATTCGAGTCACGTTGCAATGGATTTACTGTCTCCATTTCAAACGCTATGTGCATATACGGATATATACTAGTTACCATTTTAGGTAAGTCTGATAACGAAGGATAATCAAAATATTTTCAATCATGAAAATAAAGTAACTGGGATATTAATTGAAGTGTGGTGGCTAAGGTGTTTGAGCACTTGACTTGTTAACCACAGATTGTGAATTTAAATAGCCTAGTACCAATGTGATTTTCGATTTTTCGATGGATCCCCGCCCGAAGACTTGATAGGGATGGATTATTGCGGGAAATAAAGTTGAGGCTTACAACTTACGGAATAAATGTATTAGCACGGCTTTATTGAAAGATTATATTTCTCTGGCGAAATTTATGCATGTTATAACATGTGTATGGTGTTGCAGTGATATCTACAATCTCCGGGCTGGTGGCGGAGATGTCGGCTGGCGTGGAGGTATCAGTTCGGATGTCATCCCGCATGTCGCAAGTCGTGTCGGCGTGCGATGTGCTGGTGGTCGCGGTGACAGCCGGCGCTGGAGTCTACGGCGCGCCCCGACGTATGCGGAACATGCTCAAGTTCTGCGAGAGCGTCGCATCTGTAAGATACACTCAATTACATAATAATTTTTAAAGCCTTCATGATTTAGTCCAAGAACATCAAAAGATATGTATAAGAAGGTAACTCATCTGCTTACACATATCTGAAACCATTCGTAGTGAAAGACCTTTTATAAACCTAATTTAGAAAAGAAAATAATGCATCCAGCAATCACGCTGTTTACACAGGAGTAGAAAGACCGACGCAAAATGATTGAAAAAAACCTCAGACAGACAGAGAGATATTTAAATAGAATAGAAATCGTTCTGTACATTAAATATAGAACAAATTGTTCGTAGGTGGACCACAGCATTGGGGCGCAGTATTCTCGCGCGACAGAACGCAAGTTGTGCGCCATCTTGCTCGCCATTCTCATATTCTTCTCCATTCTCATAGCTGATGACTTCTGTTTCTACGCACTGCAAGCTACTAAGTTCCAGAGACAGTGTAAGTATAAATAATATCGATAATAACAGTTCCGATGTCTTTCTGTGCAAACAAATACATAATTTAATCTCCTTCCTTCGTCAGTTATCGTCGCCTACCCTATTTGTCATGTCTACATGTTGCAGGGAATGTAGTCATCAACTACATAGGTTTCTACGTGCTGTGGTACGTGGCTATGATCCTAGAGCTCCAGTTTGCCTTCACGGCGCTCTCCGTACGCGCCAGGTTCCAAGCTGTCAACAATGCACTCGCTCTCACCGCCAAAATTGTATCCGCTCCTGGTAAGTATAAATTTAATAATTGTAGGAAAGCAATAAAAAAAAATTGGAAACTTTTAATTTCTCTCCGATTTTTTTCGCACGATCCATAATAGTCTATCCTTGGTGTTCCCGCCACCCGTTTACGTCCCTCTTCTACCAAAAAGAAATAAAAAAAAAACATAACATATTCCATGAGAATGTTCATTTTAAAGAGATAAAGATAAGATAGATATATCTGGTAGATACCATAGTCAACTATGGTATCTACCAGACTGCCTAAATTCCTATGCCATATTCCATTCCGTTCAAGTATTCAAAATTCTCAAGTAACAAACATCCTACTAAAATAATGTCAGTGTTGCCTGTTTTCATAAATTTAAACAAAATCCACGTTATTGAAATCAACATTTGTTGCAGTAAAGAAAATGTACGAGCCACCGCCTCTAAACGTACTAGCTATCCGCATGGGGGCGACGGAGGCGCGGCGCTGCGCCAACGTCAGCCTACTCGTCGACACCCTGCACGATCCCGAACACAGCGTTATTATACGAAATACAGGTTACATATTCGTAATCATAATCACCAGCTTACTATACATCCACACTGAGGGGCTCGGAGCCTAACCTAAGTTAGGGTGACTAGGCCATAGTCAACCATGCAGGCGTACTGCGGGTTGATTGATGTCACACATATCTTTGCCGATATGTGCTGGCTGCATCACGATGTTTTCCTTCACCGAAAGAACCTCGGGTAAATTATGTACTTACATATGAAATTCGAAAATCACATTGGTACATGGCGGGATTCGAATCCAAGACCTGTAGATTACAATTCAAGTTAAACCCTTGAGACACCGACTCTCTAATCTTATATAATATTCCCAGTAGTAAAATTTTATTTCTCTTTATAAAACGATACATACAAAATATTTGTTTTTACGAGATTTCAGCAATCGATTGAAATAGTTTTAGAATGCTCACAGTACTTAAAAATCCTAAAGATCGCCATACACAGAACACTAGCAGTCTGCAGATTTAATAGTGCAAGTATTGGTCCTAATGCTTCTAAGTTCTGCAGTAACAGGAGAACCTCGGCTAGTGGTGCCGCCGTGCGAGGCAATCCGCCGGCTGGCGTGTCTGCACGGCGCTCTTTGCGACGTCGTCCACGCCCTTGACCGCAGCTACGGCCTGCCGCTTATACTTATACTAATATCGACGTTGCTGCACTTGATTGTCACACCGTACTTCTTGATTATGGAGATAAGTAAGAGATCGTTGTAATATGGGCTTAGCTTTTAACGACTTATTCCGCGCCGAAAAAACAACTTAGTAAGTAGCCTATGTGTTCTGCTAGATTATGTTCTACATCTATGTTCAAACCGTTAAAGCGTTTGAGATAAGTAAGTAGTAACAAAATCCACGTTTATAATATTAGTATGAAGAACCAGTCATATCTTAATGAATGTTGAGTGATTTTTAAAATAATTGTACTAATAGTTGAGGTCAAATACAACAATTTCAAGACGCATATCTTTACGAGATCGCAAGTCTAATAATACTTTTATTTTCAGTTGTGTCAACAAACAGGATCCATTTCCTGGTGCTGCAATTCCTATGGTGTGCAACACACATGTTGCGTATGTTCGTTGTCGTCGAGCCGTGTCATTACACCATTGCTGAGGTAATTTTGTCGAAATAGAAGATCTTACTATAGAAATGTCTATATAACACCAATATCCACTTCATTGGATGTACTAGAAGTATATATCGCTGACTATTATCATCAGGGTAAGAGAACAGAAGGTCTGGTATGTCAGCTAATGCGATCAGCGCCATCTAACGGCAGCCTGCCCTCGCGCCTGGAAGTGTTCGCACGACAACTAATGCTGCAATCTGTTACGTACTCTCCGATGGGAATGTGTACTCTCGACAGACCTCTTGTAGCCTCAGTAAGTTTTTTTGCTCATAATCTTAGTATAAATGCATAGTTTAGATGGATGGATGTTTGTTAATTTGTAACCTAAACTGCTGAAAGGATCTCGATGAAATTGTGCATAGACAAAGAGGATAGTCTGGAAGAGCAGATAACCTACTACCATTTGTTTTTTTTTATTCCACGCGTACGGTGTCGCGGGCGAAAGCTAGTAATATTATAAATGACAAAGTTTGGATAGATGGATATTTGTCAATTTGTAGCCTAAACTGCTGAACGGATCTCGATGAAATTTGGCATAGATGTAGAGGATAGTCTGGAAGATCACAAAAGCTGTTTGCTTTTTTTTTTAATTCCACGCAGGCGAAGACTAGTTATTCATAACGTAGCTATAATTCACTATGCTTACATAGAGTTAAGAAAAGGATGAGAGCTATACTGTAAAGCATATTGAGGGGACTTCGTTTATCCTGGTTGGCACGTACTATTTTTGGGAGGTTTGGCCGCTTTTTAAAGGCTTGAAGTCCGTTTGGGGGCTTAAACCCTTTCTAGGAGGCTTGAGCCCCTTCTGAGGGGGCTTAAGACCTGAGCATACTGACTGGATAAGAGACAGAAGTAATAAAACATTTAATAATTGCAGGTTCTTGGAGCGGTCACAACCTATCTAGTCATCCTCATACAATTCCAAAGATATGACAATTAAACAAACTAGTGTAAGGTTAAGAATCAATTTAGTTCTTTTACTGTCAAAAATTTTGTAATTATATTAACATTATCTCAATGCTTTTGTAATAAATCTTTAATTAACTAAATGTTTATTTATTATATATTGTCCTCCTCCGTCAATTAAGGGTAGGCAACGCATCTGCAATTGCGGATGTTTTGGTGGCCATTTCGGTGAATTCAGGTGGCCGCTTGCTCGTTTGCCACCTTATATTATAAAAAAAAATCTGAACTGATTATTATAAATTTATAGTATGTATGAGGAAAAATAAAAAACAAAACTCAAAATTGTATATTTTATTAAGATTAAAGTTTATTGTTATTAGAAAAATGTTTTACACGACATTTATACGATGCTATTGTAATGGTCAATACACGAACGCACATGCCATCTAACACACATAGGAACATTTGCACCTTAAATATATGGCGTGGGAGATATTTTTTTTATTATTATAACTTATAAAAATAACTTTTATTGTACAAGATGCAAGATATAATTGACCCTCGGGAATATATCATTTTATTCATACCTGAAAAATAGACGATTAGTCGAAATCTATACAATTGAGAAATTATATTTAGACATTTGACAGTTATTATGGTCTATGGAATTATTTAGGTATATTTTTAATTAAGCTGATTTAAAAGAATATTATTTTTCATTTCTATTGAATTCGACTATAGTCGTCAATATGACTTCATAAATTCAGCAACAAAAAAGTGTGTGAATCCAAGTCGAATTTGTATGTATTAATTTGGAGGTTATAAAAATATGACGTATTTGATGTCGCCAATAAAATACAGCCAGCTGATTGGCTGACATCATAATAATAATTTTCACATTTCAATATGGCCGCGGGAACTCCCGCGCGTTTGTCGAAATCATCTTACTTTTATCAAATGTACCTTTTTAAGATTTTTTTTCTAATAACCAACAGACAATTGTATGAAATTAAATATAAAAAACTTTTTAAAAGCACCATAACGAATAAAAAAGAGCGATATTTACTTATCGAAGGAATGAGACAACATTTCGTTAGAGCAAAAGAGATAGCAGTATGTAATTTTTTTAAGTTCCTTTTTACGTAAATAATGTTAAAAAAGGACCAATGTGATTTCCTTTTCTTTCAATTTATTTCATTTCCTCGTCATATTACTAACTGTATATTTCAATGCAAATTTGTTTAAACATCAAGTTTAAAAAACATAATATCTTCACGCCTGAAGAAAAAAGGGTATAATCTATACATATACGTATCTCACTTACATACTATTATACATTTTTAATACTTTCCAATTTGTACACATAACAACTTTCAGATATTTTTATATATTTAAATATATATCATATTTGTATTATAAACGCTGTGGGACGGAACATAAACTATTGCTTTCTATATATTATTTTGTATGAAAAAATAACATTTCGTTATATGTTTACAAAGTAATATAAACTAATTCAATTGGAATTGAAAAATTTTATATGCACATATCACTGGTAAAAAATGTTATTGTCTATGGATTTATTTTGGCTCTATACAAACGTGTCTATTTTTATTTAGTCTGTGATCACTGATCACAGCCTTATAAAGGTAAAATTATTTAGACAGATTTGTTATAATTTCTCAATTCTATTGAATTTGATTTGAAACTAAATATTTAAATCCACTATCACAAGTTTTTTATTAAAATAATAAATTTTGTCGATATATAAAATATGACATAATCGAATTATATAGTGTTTTTTAAACATTTTAAATCTCAAAGTTGTTATGTGTTCACTTAGTTCCCACTGTCGAAACTTGTATCAAAACATATTATCCCTTTTATTATATTTTAAAGAGACAGAAATACATTTTGAACACATAGTTCCAAATAACATACAACTATGATATCTATTATAATTCAGTTTTTTATGAGTGATGTTTTAGATATTTCATCATATAAATTAAAAACCTCATATTTAGGGCCTGTCCCACCACTGGCTGATAGAGGCTCAGATAGCTTAAAAATGTCACTGTCAAATAAGGGAACAAAATCCGATATTTCCATCACATATTCCACATATTAGATTGTTATTAGAGAATTTACAATTTGGTGGGACAGTGGGGACAGTGGGGGAAAGTGGGACTTTAGTATTTTAATGTATGTACAAAATATAGTAGTTTTTATATTATCTTGTACAGTTTGATACATAGAGAATCAATTCATAGGGAATTTGAAAAAAAAAGTAAATAATAAAAAAAAATAATTATATAAAATCGGAACTTTATATACTTTATAGACTTTTTTGATGATTTCTAATCCCTTCGAAATTACCTGGTTTTAATTGTACTATTATGAACATCATCACGCCGTCTTATTCAAATTGTCTTTAGCAGATTTTTTTTTGTTTAATATATTTAACAATTGTGTAATTTTAATGTTAATAAACATGTAATAAATAAATCGTTTATCAAAATAAAAATGATTTAAAACACTTTTTTACTTTCAAAACATGACGCGATGACATTCATTACGCCAAATAAATAAAAAATCGCACAACTAATAAAAAATGTCATTTTGAAAAAGAAAACACTGGAATACTACATATTCAAAATAATAGTAACGGTTCCACATACTTTCCACGTTTTTTTATAATAACTGTACTTTATACCCGAGTATATAACTCATTTTTGTACGATCCAGTGACGTAATAGGCCTCAAATTTCACGCACGAAATTACAAGCAAATTGTGCGATCACAAAAACCATTATTTTCATATTATTATATCTATATTATAGACGAAACTATTTTATATACTATCTTATTAAGAAATTGCACTTAAAATTATCACTTAATACATATCTAATACTTTTATATTCCATCTATATCTCTTTTAAAACTTTAAATGCAGCGTAAAAATGAAAGCAATTTTTTTTTAAATAAAACATGAATACACCCCTGGTGTACATGTTCCCTCTCTGTCTCTCACGCACTCGCGTATATCTATCTCGCTCACTCGCTTACTACAGACGTGCACTCTATGATATAACTTTAGAAAGAAACCGATGTCTTTTTCTCATTGGAACAGACTCTGTACTTTTAATTTAGGGGAATATTGTGTTTCCTGTTTGGTTATTTTTACCTGAAACATTAAAGAAATCAATAAAATTTAAATTTCTTCATATTATATTGAAATGACATTTTCTCAAACTCGCATAAAATTATAGCTAATAGTACATACCTCATCATACATGGAATTCTCTTCCGGATCAAAAATATCTCTGGAAACCTGGAATTTGAAATAAAAAATAAACGCATTATTATTAGTCTTTGGTATTTATAATCTTTGATAAAGATTTCTGTCAAATCGCGGTCTTTGATGCGTTTGAATACTGTGCGCGAAAACAATTAAAAAATTGCAAATTGTCTATAGTTAATGTTTTAAGTTGGTATCAGTGTAAATCACCGATCTTGATAAATAGGCAGGCTACATGTGATATTTTGTGTATATTTGTTTTCGCCATCTTGTGTCTGCGCGCGCACATCTCTGACTAAGCAATCGCACAATTGTTTAGTCGCGCTATGATTCCTATGACCTTATATGGAGGTGCGCACACTATTCGATTTTTAGTTGTGCAAATAAACAGTTGAATTGGCTGCGAAGCAATCGACAATTGAAAATCGCATAACAGTTGTGCGATATTTTATTCAAAGGTGTGCGCTACCTCTATGAGAAATTAGTAATAGAGAGTCGGTGGCTCAGGGGTTTGTATTATTCCCAACCGTCGCCCCTCTCCGTCCCCACATGGGGACAGATGATAATAAAGTATCATCCGTCCCACTTTTTGCGCCGAGGGGACGGTAGGAAGTTATTTAATTTGTAACAGTGTAATGCTGACTTTGGGCGGTCTGCCGCGGCGTGGCGGATTCGGTGTCCGCGCGGCCATGACGCGCAACTGGTGCGCCCGCAGCAGGTGCTCCGTGTGCTGGCTCGGCGACGAGAACCGCTCCCCGCACGACGAGAACACGCACGCGTACACCCGCTCTGCGCAACACGACACTTACTGACACTTGCTGACACATCTTTGACAGTTATTGACACTTGTTGACACTTATTGACATTTTTTTAAAATCGTAATTAGATCAAAAAGGTGTGGAGTGTATCGCTGATCCTTTTTTTTACACTTATTGACATTAGTGTCAAAAAAAATGTACTACGACATATACTTTGCGATTCTTCCGCAGTCTCAGAGTTACAAGTCATAGTAACCGTAGCATATCTTTGTTTTGCAACTATCTCTTTCGCACTGGTGTTTAAATAGCTCTGACGTATCTAATGCAAGCATTCGTATTTAAAGTTTTTTTATTATGCAACCGTCTCTTTCTTACAAAGCCTTGTTTTATGTATCTAATTCAAATATTCGTCTTTCACATTTATTCGTCGTTTCGTCTACATTACTCTGTCTCACGTTCCAGTTCATACATCCGCATTTATTTTTTATTTTCCATCCATCTCTATCACACTGAGAGTTGCATAGCTCTATCTCACTTAAACATATATGTTTGTTTCGCATCCATCTCTAACACGCATGAGTTATACTTACTGTTGTCGCTGTCATCATTGTGGTCATTATGGTCGTTATGGTCGTTGTGGTCGTTGTCGCGGAGATGCAGCGCGAGGTGTTGCCGCAGCGCGGCGCTGCTGGGCTGCGTGTCGCCACACACGTCGCAAGTCAAACGAGACGTACTCTTCTTCTTACTCACTTCACTTGATACGTCGTGTACAGATCGTCTGCGTAGGAATTTACGGTAAATATATTACCAGGCAACGGCGGATCCAGGGGGGATCATGTGGTAATGACCCCCCCCCCCTGAGCTGGTTGGCCAAGAGCTTGACAAAATATATTTACATATTTTGTCAAGCTCTTGACTTGACCACGACTATGTGAGCCCTCCTGACGCCAAAGCTGGATCCGCCTTTGTTACCAGCATACATAAATTATGTAACACGTACACTTTTGCCCGCGACTCCGTCCGTATGGAATGATAAAAGAAAGTAGCCTATGTGTTCTTCCAGACTACGCTATCTTTTGTAAAATTTCGTCTTCTTTTTAAAGCAATCGTTTAAAAGCAATTCGTGAAAGCAATTCCGCGTACAGTCTGACGAGTGTGGTACCGGAGACCTAATTTTAGGTCCTTTCCCTTTCCATCTTTTTCTTAAGGATGGGAAGGAAAAGTGGATTCGACGGTGGAGACGCATAGGAAGGGGAAATGTCCTCTTTATGTGCGTCTCCTCCGTCAATTAAGGGTAGGCAACGCATCTGCAATTACAGGTGGCCGCTTGTTTGCCACCCTATATTTAAAAAAATAAAAAAGTAATAAGCAACTATACCTATGCATAAACATGTGGCTGCGCTGCTGGAAGCTGTCCCCGCACTCGGGGCAGTCGTAGGCGCGCGCGCCGCCCGACAGGTGCCGCTTCAAGTGCTGGTTCAAGTTCGTCACCTGCCAAGTCAATATTAACTTAGAATACTGCTATCCAAACTTCATGTTATTATTTGTTACATAATATAAGGTGGCAAACGAGCAAGCGGCCACCTGAATTCACCGAAATGGAAAGCAACCGCTGCCCAGACATCTGCAATTGCAGATGTGTTGCCTACCCTTAATCTATGGAAGAGGAGACGCACACAAACAGAAAGTTTGTCCATTCTGTACATCTTCTCCGCTATCATATCCAGTTTTCCTTCACATCCTTTTCACATAAGAAAAAGGTGGAAAAGGAAAGAGACTAAAATTAGGCCTCCGGTATCACACTCATCAAACTGTACGCGGAATTGCTTCCACTTCACGCCTGTTTTGTGTGGTCGTGGTATTGCGTGAAGCGAGCCGGCCCATTCGTGCAAAGATGTTAAAGCGGGCACTACCTGTATATTACTAGCTTTCGCCCGCGACTCCGTCCGCGTGGAATTAAAAAAAACAAAAGTGAGCAACCTATGTGTTCTTCCAGACTATCCTCTACGACTATGGCAAATTTCATCGAAATCCGTTTAGCCGTTTATGCTACAAACTCTAACAAACATCCATCCATCTATCCATCTAAACTTTCGCATTTATAATATTAGTATGAAGTATGATTAACGAATAAGCAAGATAGAATAAATATGATATAGAGTTTATTTTTAATGTATTTCAAGGGTTTTCCATAGTTACCTGGGCGTAGGCTTTACCGCAGCCGACTTCAGGACACACGTAGGGTCTCTCGCCCGTGTGCAAACGTACGTGGTTGTTCAGATTCGTCGACTGAAATGTTAACATTATTTAAAAAAAAACTCTGATACTGCCTTAATAAAAAAAAAATAATTTTCACGAATAACAGAAATACTCATTTATATTCATAAAGGAATTATCATGTAAATAAGCAGTACTAGTTTTAGCACGCGACTTCGTCTGTAAAGAATAAACAAAATCTAATAACAAATAAATCCTATTTAATTCAGTGATAATTTAACTTTTTAATAGTGGAAGATTTTTTAATTTGGTCCAGTAGTTTTTTTAGTTGTTACAAACAAAAATACAATACAATATTATATTTAGATGTTAAATTTTAGAAACATAGTTAAAAATTAGATCATAAAAATATCTCTTATGGGAAGTTTAGAAGATTAAAAAAATAATAAAAAATCGAGCAGAAATAATTGAATTTAATACTGTAGTTATACAGACCTGCGTAAATGCTTTGCCACATTCTGAGCACTTGTACGGTCGTTCATTTGTGTGTATACGAACATGAGCTCTCAAGTTATTTGATTGGGAAAATGCTGAAAATATATGGAATATTGAGAATTATTGAAAGTTAAAAAGATATTTTTAACTTGTATTACATTACTATGTACATTTATAAATGTGTTTCTAATAAGATAAGAAAAAAATAGAGTCAGTAAAAGAGATATTTTTTGGTATTTTTAGCGTTTTGTGAGGACATTCATTAACACATTCTTATTTCAAACATTATTTAAGACTATTACCATTACTAAATTATAAAAATGATATATTTTTTTATATCATATGGTGCTAAACAAGCAAATGGCAACCTGAGTCCCACAAAATGACGAAGTGTCCGCTGCCCATAGACATTTTAATGTTTAAATTCACTAATTTTTAATATAATAACTAAATATCTTACCTTTATTACAATATGTACAAACAAAACGCCTCTCCGCACGATGGTTGCGCATGTGACTCAATAGCTGGGTGTTCTTCTGAAAAGACTTGTCGCATATATCACAATATAATCCTGACTCTATGCTCACCTAAAACATTTATTACTTATTTAAACAGAACATTGAAATGTCTGATGGATAAAAAGTTTTTAATGGCTCTAGTACTCTTGTACTTTATTAAGCTTTCATCCGCAAGTCTGTCCGCATGGAATTAAAACTGTTGGAGTTTTTATATGTTTGTATACTGGCAGGCAACACTGTACACACAGAGATTTTAATATTAGAATAGTATATTTTAAATTATAAAGAATTGTATATTTGATGTTTGATACATCACTTCACATCTCAACACATACCAAGAAACATAGTAGGACTTATAGAATAGACTTTGTATAAAATGTGGTTTTGATATTATAAATACAATGATTAACTAGATGAAAAAAGTGTTTCAATAGCCCCACACCTCCAGAGCCCCGGACAGAGAAATGTAACCGTCCAACAAAAACAAAGAACAAAAGTAAGTAGCCTATTTGTTCTTTCAGAATATCCTCTACATCTATTCAGTCATTTAGGCTACAAACTCTATCAAACATCCATCTAAACTAATATTAGTATATTTTAGGTACCCCCTCAAGGGACATGTGCTGAGGTATTAGACTACCACTCTCCCTTATAACTAAAATCATTACTACACTATTTATTACCTTAATATAGAAATCATCAAAAGATTATTAATTTATTAATAGTCCAAAATTAAATACATGCAATAATTTATTTTCCTTTCCCCTATAATGATTTTGTGATTTTTTCTGAAACCCCTTTTACTACAGTATACGGAAAAAAAAAATTTAATTGAACTAAATGTATTTTTATAACTATTCTTATAACTACAATCAGTTGTTCTCTGTTTTAATCTGTATCATACTTATTTTACAGTTTAAATACCTCTATGGTTTTGGAAGACTTAGGCTCCGTGGCTTCAGATGGATGGTCACCGATAGTCACCTCTGGTACAAGAGGCTGGCATTTAAAACACGCGTAAACACCGTCTTTTCCAGTTTCGAACAGTTGCTGAAATTAGTAAAATAACATGTTTTAAAGACAAACTTATACAAACTACTTTTATACATTTTGACTTTTTATGTAAGGCTCTTATAAAAAACAGAACTAGGACAACTTAAAAAAATTGCACATCTGCAAAAAATATTAGCTATGTCATATTTTTATAAAGTGTATTTTACAAAACAAAGGTTTTCCTGAATAATATTAGCTAACTATGAACGATGAAAAAGATGTTTTTACAAAGCGCGGTGCCAGACATAAAAAAACAAACCGCGAGACTAAAGAAAAAAAAATAAGGCGGGCAGGTTTCGAACGCAAGTTTTTTTTATTATTATTGCTTCGAGCTCCATGCATTACAAGGCACTTTTAAAAAATAAAACTACACAAGTATTTCTAAAGAAAGATCTTCTCCAAATATAATAGTGTTATTTTTATAACAAACTGGTAAAGAAAACAAAAAATATTGAAGGAGTTCTACGCGATACAATGGTATTACAGAGGGTTTCCATCTACTTACAACTGCGGGCTTAAGACAAATTGCACATTTATCCATGTTTGAACGTTTTCTATTCACTTGTATCTTGTATACAAATATGATTTCATAAATATTACTATTTTTCTCATTATACGATGGACCGTCAGAAAAGGCACAGCAAGCGGGGTGGGGCACAGTGAAACGGGGTGAAGGGGGATTGTTCTCCATAGGTTAAAAATTAATGAAAAGGTGTCAACATCAAGCTACTTTTGAATTAACCAGAGATAATTTGAATATAGTCTGTAATGCTTGGTCTTTGAGAATGTTTTTTTTTAATTATGACAACTTGTTTGACAAATGACAAATATATCATCTGAAGAACATGCGAAAATACTCATTAAATAAAGTTAATTATCTTTTAATGGACCTAGTTTAATTTATTTAAATAGTTCTTGTTATTGTGTTATTGCGATTTATATATTCCTATGATATATTTTTTCCTATTATATATATAGTGGATAGAAATAGACATTTTCTATCCAAACTGATTGAGATAGAAAAGTTTCTTCTGGACTTTTACAATACGTAAACATGTCTGAGAAGCCAGTTGTAGCTAGTGGAAATCAGCCTATCGTGAAGATAGGCCACTATACTTTAGGCGCCACCCTTGGAGTAGGGACATTCGGTAAAGTAAAAATAGGTGAACATCAACTTACCAAACACAAAGTCGCTGTGAAAATTTTGAACAGACAGAAAATAAAATCTCTCGATGTTGTTGGCAAAATAAGGCGTGAAATTCAAAACTTGAAACTGTTTCGTCATCCCCACATCATCAAATTATATCAGGTAATTCCTCTACACACTTGATTTGAATCTTTTATCTTCCAACTCCAACAAAATTGATAATTTACAGGTAATATCTACACCAACAGACATCTTTATGATAATGGAATATGTTTCTGGTGGTGAGCTCTTTGACTATATTGTTAAACGAGGGAAACTACAAGAGCATGAAGCTAGAAGATTCTTCCAGCAGATCATATCTGGTGTTGATTACTGCCACCGTCATATGATCGTACACAGAGATCTGAAGCCAGAGAATCTCTTATTGGATCACAATATGCATGTGAAGATAGCAGACTTTGGTCTATCTAATATGATGTTGGATGGTGAATTCTTGCGTACATCTTGTGGTTCACCAAACTATGCTGCACCAGAGGTAACTTCTGTACTTATATACAAGAACTATAAATTCTTAGTCAGCTATCAGTAACAATTGAAAGGGTTAATATTTTTTTAAAAACATAGTTAAAACAATTAAAGCCCCTTATAAAACTATTTATTTCATGAATTACAGTATTTTAAAAACCACTCCAATTTAAAAAAAAATAGAAAAATAGTCTTTAGAGATATATAATTGTTTAATCAAAATTACTAGTTTTCACTCACAACTTTGTCCATAAAGAATTGAAAACTTTAGCAAGTAGAATACAACATACTTCCATTCAAAAGTTCATCCAGATCAATTCAACTATTCTGAAGTTACATGGTAACATTCATCCATACAAACTTTCGAATTTATAAAAGTTCCTCAATACATTTTCAGGTTATCTCAGGAAAATTATATGCAGGCCCTGAAGTAGATGTATGGTCTTGTGGTGTTATTCTCTACGCACTATTATGTGGCACACTACCATTTGATGACGAACATGTACCTACATTGTTCAGGAAAATCAAATCAGGAATATTCCCCATACCAGAATATTTAAACAAATGTGTAGTGAGTCTGTTATGCATGATGCTACAAGTAGACCCAATGAAGAGAGCAAGTATAGAGGATGTTAAGAAATACGACTGGTTCCAGAAGGAATTACCCGATTATCTGTTTCCATCACCTGTGGAACAGGTAAATAATTACTATTAATACTTATGATAAATTTCATTCATAGATAAAAGCATAAATTTTGTTTTGCAGCAAGAGGAAAACCAGGTAAATATTAGAATAATAGGAGGATATTATTATCTGTCATTTTACCTGCCTTTCTTTACTTTTATTTTTTTGCAAATGTTAGTTACACGTAATTCGAACTTTAATAGAAGTGCTGGCGTTTATTATCTATAAATTTACTGAATTTATAATTTGCTCAGGCCATGAGCGGTGAACCATGACAGCATAATGAATTTAGTGCACTGACACTGATCACTGAATTTAGTGATCAGTGACATGCCCAAAATGTTGCGTTGCTTTCCATTGGTTCGCCAAACCCTGGCCAAGTAACAGGATATTTAGTATTAGTTTAGTGAATTTATCAAAAATGTATCTGTTCCTTAGGAGAGTGGGTTTGTAGATGTAGAAGCAATAGCCGAGGTGTGTGAGAAGTTTGGTGTAAAAGACCAGGAGGTGCACACCGCATTGTTGAGTGGCAACCAGCACGACCAGCTTGCGATCGCCTACCATCTCATTATTGATAACAAGAGAATCGCTGATGAAGCTGCTAAAGCCGAGATAAAAGACTTTTATATTGCTGGTGAGTAACAAACAGAAAAAATAGTGAAGCTTGTCAAAATGAGTGCTCAATTGATGTAAAAAATATTATTTATTTACTTCAGTGTTTGTGAGGAAGTTTGAGAGTAGCCCCAGTGGTTGAGAAAATAAGGAGTAAAAGGTGAGAGTGGTATGGGCATGTTATGAGAAGGGATGAATCGCATGTGACAAGAAGGATGTTAGTTATGAATGTGGAGGGGTACATCGGTAGAGGTAGACCTAGAAAGAGATGGATGGATTGCGTGAAAGGTGACATGATCAAGAAGGGAGTGATGACTGAGATGATGGATGATAGAGTGCTTTGGAGGACGAAAACCCGGTGCGCCGACCCTACGGGAGTAGGATAAGGCAGGGGAGATGATGACTTTAGTGTTTGTGTTAAAATTAATTTGGTTTATAGACATTTAATCTAATGTTGAAAATTCACAGGTCATTCTCCACCGAATACTACAGAGCCAACAAGGCCACACCCTGAACGTATAGCTCCGCTGCGCAGCAAGGAGTCCCCCAGTGCGCTACCCGCACAGGACAAGCAGAGAGGCACACCAGTTAAAAGGTATACCTAGACATTTTATGACTTAACTTGCTTTCACCCGCGACACTGTCCGCGTGATATTAAAAAAAAACAAAAGCCAGTAGTGTATGTGTTCTTCCAGACTATCCTCTACGTCAAATTTCATCGAAATCCTTTCAGCCGTTTAGGCTACAAACTCTCAAACATCCATCCATTCATCCATCTCAACTTTCGCATTTATATTAGTATGATTTTAGAGCCTAACCATGAATGTAAACATCTTTGCCCAAGAGCACTTGAATCTTGAAAATGTTAAAACTAATTAGTCAAAACTAGCTCAAAAGTATCCATTTTATTTTCAGCAATAGGGCGAAGGATTTTATATTTGCGATCAAAATACAACAATGAAACTTCTGATTTTAACTGAAACAAACTTGGGTTCCTTTTATTTAGCCCTTAGTGTTTAATTAAAGACTTTGAGAGTGGATGTTGTTTTAAATCCGTTATTTATTTTACAGAGCGAAGTGGCATCTCGGAATAAGGTCCCAGAGTAAACCAAATGATATAATGTTAGAAGTGTTCAGAGCTATGAAGGCGTTAGACTATGAGTGGAAAGTCATCAACCCATATCATGTCAGGTAAGTACAGTAATTAGTTAAAACATAGGCTAAGCAGACATCAATTATAGCGACCATAAACTTAAATTTCAAGGAGATATAAACCTTGTACATTATCATATGTTTATTCACTTAAAAATCCGAGAATTTCCAGATGTTTAAATAAACTTTGCAGGCTTCAATGTATGTATTTCCTTCCAGGGTGCGTACATTAAACAAAAAGACGGATAAATTCGTCAAAATGTCACTCCAACTGTATCAGGTTGATTATAAATCGTACTTACTCGATTTCAAGTCACTGTCAAGTGAGAAGGAGGAGTACGATGAGGATTCAGCCTCCACTTCGGTGGCTTCCACACCCCCTACCCCTATCACCATACCCTCAGCGCCCCAAGGTCACCACACTATGGAGTTTTTTGAGATGTGTGCAGCACTCATCATACAACTTGCACGATGAATTCATCGAATACTAACTTAAACTTATAAATATTTATATAATCTAAAATGTAGATAAGAAACCTTTTTTTTATTATTGCTTTCGATTATGGAATAAATTTGCCCACATATAATAGATTCTGTATCATTAAAGATAGTAAGGTGTAGGTTAAGGGTTACCAATGCCCTGGGCTTTAGATTTCTATGTTGCCCCCTTTTTACCATGCCTAGGGGAAGGGGGATTTAAAAGGTACAAGATATACGCAGACTAGTGATGCCCTCTTGGAGGGGTGCGGGGTTTAAGAGGGCTACGGGATATACACAGACCTTTGACGCCCTGGGCGGTCGTGTTATCGCGCCCTGGGCGGTCGCCCTACCGCCTACCTACCCTAATACTGGTATTAAGGTTATAATCATTTAGGTATATAGAATAAATATTAAAACTACCTAAAAACCCATTCATTGAAATATTTGCTTAATTGTATTATATTGTTGGTTGTAAGTGTTAAAAAAAAATTAAACTGTATTGCTGAGTACTTACCAAAGAGAGTGATTAAGAATTAAGTGCCTTGAGTAGTTAAGTGTTCATTTTATGCCTTTTATAATTTATTGAAAAAATCATTTTCCTCGCTTCTATCGGGAATAAGGGATGCCTCACGTAGAAATTATATGTTTGTCTTGAGTTTTATCAGCATAGAGGCATGGCACGGCATAGATTATTTTGCATTTTATTTAAATGCAATTGATTTAAAAAGCTTAAATATTATTATTATATATAAAGAGTAATGTTTAATATATGGGCATATGATAAAATCGTACAAAAATAAATGCACTTAATTATGTAATATAAGTTATGTTTTAACCAAAAGGTATTAGGGATGTAAAGATATGTATATTAGAATTAATTAAATTAAATCATAATGGAGTAGACTGGAATCATGTTCGTGAAATATTGTTAACTTATTTTAACTTAGTAGTAGCGACTTGCGCGATGAAACTTAACAAAAATCATTAAAACTGATTAAATACTTGCTATTGTTTCATTTACTTACCCCCAGATATTAATAATTTTGTAGAATACATACTTTAGGCTTCATTCACACGAGCGGTTTTAAAACGCGCGTTAAAAAAAACGCCCGTACGAGTGGAGCTTATTCTTTTAATGAAAAAGGAAGGTAATTAAAACAACAAAACACATTTTAATACTGTAATTTATTACAGATCTATTAAATTAATTTAAAAAACAACTACACTATACCATTTCGAACAAAATGGATGCAATTGACGATCTGAATGATGGCCGATGTTTTTATAACTAAAAACAATAAATTAAAACCTCTCTTTAAAAGAAAAAAACAATTCAAAATAGACAGAACTATATGTACTGTAATGGACGACATTTTTAAAAATGTTTTCTCTTTGTGATTTCAGTTTAATAAATCGCTTGTGTTTGCAAACAATTATCTAATATTATTTTTATTTCAAATAAAATAAATGATAAATTGACAACAAATATAGGGTACATTTCATTTAGCGCTGGTTGATTTTTCAACCTAGAAGCTGTGTTCTTACGGTTCAATTTCCGCTACTAAACGAAATAGGAACATTTAAAAAAATATTCTTTGATGAATTTTTTACGTTGTTTATAGAAATAATACGTTGACAGGTCCATGGTAGAATTTGTTTATTGTTTGTGGTCATGCGCTGGGCGTGGGCGACATTGGCGAGCCTTCGTCCGGCTTGCTCTCCAAAGAGAAGGGCGGTATGCGGCAGTCGAAGGTGTATCCATCCTCACGCTCCATTCTAAACGTGCCCCTTTTAAACGGAAATACCGATTTAATATGTATTTATATTGAAAAATGAGTTCAAATGACTGCCATGAAATGCCTCTATTGGAATTAACGAGTGTATTAAGGCAAAAGTGGATTCGGGCGTCCCCAAAGGGTTAGTTACCCCCCCTAGGGACTTGCTAAATGTAAAATAAATCTAAAATTATTTGGATGGATGTATATTAGAGTTTGTAACTTAAACTGCTGAACGAATCTCGGTGAAATTTATCAAATATGAAGGAACAGTCTGGAAGAACACATAGCTACTCATTTTTTTATTCTAAAAAGATAGCTAGGATATAGTAAAATGTCTTCAATTACTATGAATGCATACAGATAGGTATCTAAAAAAGTAAGTTTTTCTTTTAAAAATTTGACTATATGTTGATCTTTGGAATAAATGCTTGGGTATTAGCTGCCCCCCCCCCTCCAGATCAACAATCGGTTAGCAAGCAACTTCTGTAGCCGTAGTAACTCACCACATATGTCCGCTGGGCGCCTGCAGACTGACGTGGCTGCTGTACTGGAAGGCGGGCGCGTGACGCGCCAGCACCGGCTCCTGGCCGACCACGCCGCGCCCCCGCACCGTCTCCAGCGTCCCCGACAGCGAGAAGATGCGCCAGTGCCGCTCGCGCAGCTGCACGGCCTGCGCACCCAGGTTCTCCAGGCGGATGCAGTACCGCCACTAAATGTAACATATTCTATACTTCTTTCTTGCTATCATCACCAGCTCACTATGTGATCCTACTAAGGGGCTCTGAGTCAACCCCAAGTTGGGGTAACCAACCCGCACTTGGCCAGCGTATTTGGCTATGGCCTAATCACCCCAACTTTCTTGCTATAATACTTGTTATTTACTATACATTAAATATCGTATTTCTTCTGGAATTTTTAGGCTTTATAAGAGACTAGCTTTTGTCAACTACGCCGTCCGCGTGAAATGTAAAAAAAACAATAAAGAAATAAAAATCACAGATAAATTACCATTCTAACAGTGGAAGATTAATAAATCGGCCCAGTAGTTTTTGAGCCTATTCATAACAATCAAACAAAGTTTTCATCTTTATAATAATATATCATAGTATAGAAAATACCATATCTTGAATTCTACACAATCACCTTTTAAGCCTATAAATAACAATAGAATAATCAGAGCACCAACGTACCCAGTAAACAGCAGAGTTCTGCGACTCCCTGCTGCCCATGTAGAAAGGTATGACGGTAACTCGCACGCCTTCAGTGGTCTCGCGATGCACGTCGCTCAGCTCCAGCCACGGGTGGTTCTTCTTCTGCCAAGCGCGGAGAGTCTCTTGCGCTATGAACGGTGGGTCTGGAAAAGCACACGATAAAAATGAATAGAAGTCAACAACTATTGGGATTGTATATTTCACCATTCACGTATATTTGCCTTTATTGGGATCGTGTATTTTACTTCATTGGGATACAATCCCACTTTTTGCTTTATCTAGGATACTCGCCTTTGTCGGGATTATGCATGAGGAACTTATCAAAGAGCTCGTGCTGTAGGGGCACGCGCTCTAGCGAGGTGTAAGGTATGATGTCATCATGCGCGACGTAATCCAGCCCAGGGATCGCGTATAGGCTACGGCTCGACTCCTGGTTGCCGAGGAAGGTCACCGCCTCCGTCTGGGCCCGCTGTGAAGATTATGAGAATCGTCGTGGAGATTCTATGTTTTTTACTTACTAGATGATATGATAACCAAAATCCTAGGTAATGGAACTTATGAGATAGTTAAAAATGTAGAATTAACTTATGTAAGCCTGAATTAAATTCTCTATTTGATATTTAATTTAAGTTACAATTTATGATTCTTTTGGGATATTATCGCACATTTATGGTTTTTATTGATTTACTGTTATTTCTATACTAATGACATGGGAATTTTAATTAAATAAATGAATAATGAAATGTTACTAATTAGTTAATAATTGTTACATCAATCATAGTAATATACAAAACAATTAATTGCAATAATCTTAATAATGACATTGTTGATGCATTTATTTGATAAATGTGAACCAACAGCTGGCAGTAAGATAAAAGCAATAACAAAATATATTTTTTATATATAAATTTACATTTAAGGTCATGTTTTTATGACTTTCAGCTTAATTGCTTTAATTCATCTGGTAAAATCTCTATTAAGTGGTCCCATAAAAAATTTAACACATTTCTAAGGATGGGTAATTTTTTTTTATATAGCTAGTGACATGGACTAAATTCATAATCTAACAGTAACATAACTGTCTTTGTGGACCCTAGTTTATACGAGAAGCCTTATCTTTATACATAATTAGCTTTTGTCCGCAACCTCATATGCACAGAATTAAATAAAACATAGTAAGGAGTCTGTCTTCTTGCAGACAATCAGTGCCAATTTTTTTTTTCAAATCTATTTGGAGATACATAATACCATCCATCCATCCAAACCTTACTATATGAAATATTAGAATTATAAATTAAATGAGTATGTAACTTTACAAAAGCCTGAATTATTGCTAACAACTTTTCACATAAAGCATGAACACAAACACCCATATTAATATATTATTTATAACACGGCTAAAACTCACGTGAGAACTTTCGGTGTAGGCACCGACCAGCCAGACCAGCGAATAAAGCCAGCATCCACTCACCCTGAAGAAGGACCCCCTACGGGTTTGAAACTGGTCGGTGCCTACACCGAAAGTTCCCACGTAAGTTTTAGCCGTGTTATAAATAATATAGTATAATGTCTCACAAAAGTTTTAATAACCCATATTAATGTTTAGTCAACAATTAAATAATAATATATATTTGGATACCTTTTTCTTCCATTCTGGTCTCATATCGATGTTTGTTTGCACAGTCAACAGTAAATCATTTGAATTTAGTATCATTTTAAAATAAAATATAACCCAATTGTCAATTTATATTAACATCAGCTAAGTCAGTTATGAAAAGCTAAGATACTCAAATTATGTTATAAATAAAGGCAATAATTAATATTTAACTAAACAATAAGACCTCAATAATCTGTGTTTAGCTTATAATTGATAAATAATAAGATGGACTAATAGAAACCAGGCTAGTTTACTAGTAAAGTATTAGTTCTGTCTACCCTGACATGGTTAAAAAGTATAAAAATTTGTATTAATTACATAATAAGTGAATAAAAGTGAGAATTACATTATGTATTTGGTCTCCAATCTTTTATGAATTAAAAATAAAAGTTGTTAGCATTGACACATATAGTAATAAGGACAACAACCATATTAATTTCTTTGACATTTGATCAATACTTACTATGTAAGGGGCATCCCTGGTATCTATGAGAACTTGGTAAAACGTATGTGTTCTTCCCTTAAATTCCTTGCTAACGTTTGATAAAGTATCACCAGTTTTTGAAGGATTAGAATTTTCTACGCTTTCTTTCTTGTTTGTGGCATCTCTATCGTAAACTCTTGCTAACCAAGGAAATAATATAACGCCTCTGTACCCGAACACTTTATGCAAAATAAGCTGACCCGTATCATATTTTCCTGTTGTCTTTGGCGCCTCCAACTTCCCAACTTCTGCCAACCTGAACGTTTGAAAAAGTTAGGTTATATGCGTAAAAAATAATAATTTATGCGAATAATTTAATACCCACCTTGTATAATGTGCTACATTTGTTAATATTAGCCTAGATGTAGTTAATCTAAATAGATTTGCAGGTACTATTCGTGTCAATATCTCCATTTTATCATTTTAATTTGTTGTTTTTCGTTTACACTAACAATATATTTTTCTTTTTTGTTTGACACTGACAAAATGATGTCAATGTCAAATGAATTTGTATTTTGAGAAATTCCCGGTAAAGGCAAAATCATTCGCACATCGATCCACTTGAAAAATAACATAACTTTTGTTTACATTTCATTGTGACTAGTGGAAGTTATTTTTAAAAAACGGTTTTGTTTTTCGTTACTAATAATAACAAAATAATTTGAATCGTGAAAAGTTCGGCAAAAAAAAATTGTTTATACTCTGTAAGTTTTACACACAAATTACAACTTCCGCCGCTTGACACTTGTGACAAACGAGATTTCCGCAAATAAGACTGAATAAAAAATACAAAGTTCAAAGTACTACTTTTATTAGATTTTATTTTTTTAAAAATGTTGAGTATTTTCTCAAGATCTGTACATCTCTTTGGTAAGTCATTGAATTAAAAATTAAAATTAAAAAGGACCTTTCCATAATATAAAAACGTTGCTAATTTATTTGTTTATAATTTGGTAAATATTTAGTTTAGTGATAACATAAGTCATAAATTTATAAGAAGAAAGAAAACTTACGTACATATTATTCATAATATATTTTCTTATCATAAATCTCATATTACTAATTATACATAAATAAACAAAATAACAATAATTAAATAATTATTTCAGTATCAACATCAGCTAAGCAATCAAGATGTATCGCATCTCTATCAGCATTACCTGATACATATCAAATGTTATACAAAACATGTCGAGATTTCGCTGAAGGAGAGCTAAAGCCACATGCAGCCAAATATGATAGAAACCATGAATATCCAGGAGAGGCTATTAAAAAAATGGGTGAACTCGGTCTTATGGCTATCGCAACTCCTGAAGAGTTAGGAGGAGCTGGTTTAGATTATCTAGCATACGCAATAGCATTGGAGGAGATCTCACATGGTTGTGCATCAGCTGGAGTTATAATGTCAGTGAATAATTCATTGTATCTTGGACCAGTTGTGCACTGGGGGACAGATAAACAAAAACAGGAGTTTGTGACACCATTTTGTATGGGTTTGTTTGAAAATTTCATATGATAAATATTTGCTTGATGAAAGAATCACATAAGATATGTTATCTTGTTTTAAAATTAACAAATTTTAGTAATAAGTGTTGATAAATGGTTTTGATTACATATTTTATGTAAATGTTTTCTTTAGTTATCATAATCTTATCTTACTTATTATTATAAATGCGAAAGTTCCTGAACGGATTTCGATGAAATTTGGCATAGATGTAGAGGATAATCTTAAACACATAGGCTACTTGCTTTTGTTTTTTTAACTCCATGTGGAGGTAGTAACGGCCGAAAGCAATATTAACATGAAAAATGCACTATCTAGTAAATTTGTATAAATAATTCTATTTCTTTAGGAGACAATGTTGGCTGTTTTGCACTGTCAGAACCAGGAAATGGATCTGATGCTGGTGCTGCATCTACCGTGGCTAAAGATACTGGTGACAAATGGGTTTTAAACGGAACTAAATGTTGGATTACAAATGGATATGAGAGTAAAGCTTCCGTGGTATTTGCTACTACAGATAAAAGTCTAAAACATAAAGGAATATCAGCATTTATTCTGCCAAAACCAATAAAAGGCTTAGAATTAGGCAAGAAGGAGGATAAATTAGGTATAAGGGGATCTTCAACATGTTCTCTTATATTTGAAGATTGTAAAGTGCCTAAAGACAGTATATTAGGGGAGCCCGGTTTTGGTTTTAAAATTGCTATGATGACTTTAGATGCTGGAAGGATTGGTATTGCATCTCAAGCATTGGGTATCGCACAGGTAAATATATAAAAATGGTATTTTTAGTGTATCTGTTATTCACAGTGGTAAAAGTTTGTTATTATTTAAGGATAATTTGCATGAAAACTAATTGCTAGTGCCAGCTACTTATGTAAAATCTAAGTAATTTTCAAGTAGCATGATTTTACACTAATAAGTCTGCCCTTGGTATGGTGAAATGGCATTCACACTTTTGACTCTATTGTCATGTGTTTATGGATTGCGCCAGCAACTGGCTTGTGAGCTAGTAAACAATTTTACTAGCTTTGTATTTCTATCCTAATATAATTGTGTATTTGTTCTCTTGTTGGAATAGATAGAAAAACTGTCCTTACATCACATCTTACTGTGTTTTTATGTAGTTTTAATAAATATTATTTTCTACAGGCATCATTAGATGTGGCAGTAGAGTATGCGTCCAAGAGAATAGCATTCGGAAAGCCTATATCTAAGTTGCAAGCTATACAAACTAAGTTAGCGAATATGGCGTTACAATTAGAGTCTGCAAGGTTACTTACTTGGCGTGCTGCTTGGCTCAAAGATAACAAACAGCCATACACTAAGGAGGCAGCCATGGCTAAGTTAGCAGCGTCGGAAGCTGCTACTTATCTATCACATCAATGTATTCAGGTAATTGTATATTATAAGTACCTATATTAATGTAATAAAGGGGAAATATTTGTATTTTTGGATTTTTGTATGTATTAACTCAAAAATTATTGGGACGATTACACAAATTATTGCACCATTAAAAAGCTATGTTATCATTTACTAACATAGGCTATATCTTTTTTTTATAATTTCTCGTGTACGAAATCGCGAGCAACAGCTAGTATTTTATATTTTATTCAAATATATGCATTAGAAAACTTTAAAAAGGTAAACCGAGTGTTGCATAATTAAGTATTTTTTATTATTAATAAACTTGTATGTAGCAAAAAATATGTTAGTCTAAATAATTATTTAAATACAGAATATAAAATGAAGTTGTTTGTTCTGTTTTCTATTTAATTGCTTGACAATCCTTAAAAATGTGAATGTTTGGATAGATGGTTATTTGTTACGTAATCTCCAGAACAGTTCAATTGATCTTAATAAAATTTGGCACAGATATAGTCGGAAAGAACCCATAGGTTATTTTAATTTCGCATTGAAGATGTTGATTGATCGCAGTTAATATAACTAAGCGATACACTTTTCGATATGTTTTTTAAATGTATTATGGCATAAAATAACTATATTGTTTGTCTATTAGATTCTTGGAGGTATGGGCTACGTGTCGGACATGCCAGCGGAAAGGCATTACAGAGATGCAAGAATAACAGAAATATATGAAGGCACTTCGGAGATACAAAGACTTGTTATAGCTGGACAAATTCTTAAAGAATATGGTGTTTAATATTTAAAAGAAATTTTCTTTACAAACTGCCAGATTTAAATAGATATTTTATATTAGTATAAGTGAAATATTCAGAAACTTTTTTTTTATGTAATTTTAAAAGATGTTCGACCATTTTTACAGTGTCCTTAAATAATACTCTTGTTAATCTCTATTGTAGCAAAATAAGCATTGTTTTAACATTAAATGAAATAAATCGGTATTTTTTAAAGATTGTATTTCACATGTTAGGATACTTTACTAAAAAAAAACTTAGTTTTGATAACTTATACAGTTTTTGATTAAAATGTGACTGAATAGAAAAATGCATGATACAAATAATGTCAATAAAAAAAATATGAATAAAGAGAATACATAATTAATTAACTATTTCTATTGGCCTGGCCCTGACAGGGATTTGTCCATAAATTTCCTTTTAGCAAAACAGAGCCACCATTTGCTTGGTTTACCATCTTCGGTTGCAAACACCTGAAAAAAAATTGAAACTTTTATTCCGCAGTAAAAAACATCTATACAAATTGAGTCTATAAACAAATAATCTAAAACAGCTTTTTCCCTATCTCTCCCTAAATATCTCCTATGATCTATGGTAGTACAGCCAGGTTTCCTTTTTATCATAGTCCAAAAAGGAGGTTCTCATTTTGTGTCTTTTTTACTACATACCTTCATAGTTCTATAACATGGACAAATATGACGTCAAAGATGAGACCCAATAATAAAGATACTATACTTGCAAATATATGCTGTCTTTAAAAATAAGAATCCTGAAATTAAACTAAATCCATAAGTAAAAACTGCAAACCCACCTTCTCACACACTCTGTTACCAGTTTCATGTCTCAATTGCTGCAAATATTGTCTCATCAAATCTGGAAAAAATGAAACACTAACAATATAAATGCGAAAGTTTAAATGGATGGATGTATGTTACTATGTATATCCAAAAGGGCTCAACAGGTCTCGTTAAAATTTGGTAGATTTATAACATAGTGTGGAACAACATGAAGGCTAACAATTATAGTGTGTCTAAATAATTTAGATTAGATTGACAATTGATTTCAAATTTAGTAGGGACGGGTTGTGTAAAATCAGTCATAAATCTTATTGATTTTCGATTTTAATTCTTATAGAAGTTTCAATTGATAGATTTATAGTTGCAACTTGTGAAATAAAAAAAAACACTGTTTTCTCAAATTAATAATGACTATAACAAATAATGAGAGTATTTACTCTAATTTATTTAAATGTTTATTACTACTACAGCCGTACATAATCGAATTGGATTTCGCGAATATTTCTGTCATCGCTAAATTCTCTACACTGTAATCAATACTAGAAATGTCCTCTAAATTAGTGAATAAGAAAATAATAATTTTAGTTGAGTTTGATAATTCTTTAAACCGAATATCGATAGTTTATCAAACTTTATCAAACTAATCTATCTTATTTAGACACACTATAAGTTTATTTTAACTCTGTTTTGAGTAACAGTTGAAAGTGTTTAATACAGTACAATATCATTTTTTATTCATTTCTATGCATTTGTCAAAAAATGGAGCCTCTTGCATTATTTTAACTTCATACATTTAGGCAATTGATGGTAGGTTTGCTATTAATAAAGATATATACATAACAATATGGTGGCTTTGATCTTATGTGAAACTAACTTTGACATAACACATTTCAAGTTACCTATGTGTTCTTCCAGACTATCCTTTCCATTTATGCCAAATTTCATTGAGATCCATTCAGCAGTTATGCTACTAACTCTAAAAAACATCCATCCATCTAAACTTTCACATTTATATGCTAGTATGATGACTAACCTGCTTCTTGAGTACTAGCAGGTTTAGCATACACTGAATTAAGAGGGAATCCATACTCTCCAGGAATGTCGAATTTTGATATGGCAAGCATATACATCTCCTGCTGGCCTTGGTTCTTATTAGAGCACTTTTGCAATTTTTTCAAACATTCCGATATGTACAGAGTTAAGTAAATAAGAACTCTGTCAGCATCAGACTGCAAAATACTTTATTTTATAGTTAATTTGTTTAAAGTGTCTATTATTTAGTACTTCAACAATCGTTTAAGCAATTTTATCAGGCTGTAGGTACTTTAAATTCTTTATTTTATTAAAAATTTACCTTGATCTCATAAAATCTAAAGAATACATTGGCCTTAAAATAGTTAAGTGCTTCGTCGATAACATCCAATTCTTGTTTAGGATTGGTGGGCGCTGGGCCCCTGTAAGTAGTGCGTAATGGCAACAGAGCCAAGTTTCCAACTGATTGCGTGTAATCAACTAACGTCGAATGATACGCCTGGAATGTTCAATTTGTTTTAAACCGACGGACATTTTATAAAACTTAAAACATAAACAACCACCGTACACTGACTCACCGGCATATTGGAATTACGAATCCTTTTTCAGATAAGAGTTTAAAAACACCAAACCTATGGGTGTGGTAAATACTTCGGGTAAATATATAACTTTCACTAATTAGAACACGCAGTAATTAAAACTATGAATACGAAATTGACTGGTAAAGTAATTAAACTCGCCACGAACGTCTGAATCACCAAATCACAGCATATTTATCTTTTTAAACGTATAAAAGCTATCTGCTATTGCGATTTTGACAGTTCAATGACAATTTTAACTGACATTGACATATTTTCTATTTCCGTTAAAATACCGCGGCTGAACGATCATTGATGCTCATTACCATTTATCATGAAAAAACTCCATTTGTCTATGCGAGAATCCGACTGCTGTCAACTGTCACTTTATTTTCTATGGATTGAAGGCGAAGACAACAAACACACGTGTTTATAAAAATTTAAAACTTATCAATTAGTATTAAAAATTGTAAAAATGTCTTCAGAAACAGACATTAAAGTTAATTCTTTAATAGAAAACATAAAGAAGAATCAGGATACTGATTGCAGTGAGAAATCAGTTGTAAAGAAACAACCTAAAAAGAAAGAGAAACAAGATGAAATTAGGGGAAAACCTAAATCTGGTCGATTTTGGAAATCTCAAAAAGAAAGGTAAGTTTTATAGACATCAGTATTTTTTTTTTGTTTGAATTGTAATTAAAACACATTTATAACTATTTCCTTTATTTAGGTTTTCATCAATAAATAAAACAAAAGGACTGAGGTCAGATTTTCAGAAAAAGACTGCTTTACGTATGGAAATGAAACGCACAAAAGAACTGTCTAAAAGTCTTTTAGAACAATTTAAAGAGAAAGAACTAGAACGTAAAGAGAGGCGACGAGAAAATATAAAACGGGCTGCAGAAAACAAACAGAAATCAGAGATTGTGCAAGTAATTACTAACACTGCTAAACTAAAACGGATGAAGAAAAAACAATTAAGATTTATTCAGAAGAGAGACACAAATAAAGCTATAGAAGCAAGCAAATAAAAGTAACATAAAAGTTTTTTTATTTCACAACCTTATAATTTCTTTATATCCTTATAATTCCTTAAAAAATGTTATCAGTTGTAATTTGGATCGATTGTTTATATAACTTTTTAATCTTCATTACTCAGCTCAAGTTAAAATTTGTACATTTTCTGTCTTCCATTGAGCCTCCCATATATCTAAACATTCACTAAAAATATGAAGCGGGTTTTCTAAAGTTTAAAATTTTATTTCTCAATTACCATATTAAATTCAGGGTGTATTTATTTTTAAAATAAAAGTCTATGAATCATTTAATATTTTTATTAGGTATTGTAAGCACATACATATAAAAATATTAAATGCTTACCATTTTTGTGGTTAATTAGAATGTCATGCGTGGGAAGTATTTACACAGTTGTGATGGGATGGATAAGTGATATAAATAACATTGAATTTTAATTAATTTCATTATGTATGTACAATAATGGAAAACCGTTACAATCATTATAATATAGTTATCCAAAAAATACTCTTAAAGTCATTCAAATTAAACAATATTAAAGATTTATAGTTCATTTAAAGAGATACAAGGAGATCCACAATATTTTCCGAATATCAAATGTATACAAGATGTTTATGTATACAAGCCTCAATTAAATTATATCACTTTTCTACAAGAAAACACTACTCAGTAATAGTATTACAATTAACTTACAAAATTAACAATTACGTAGATTGTAAAAAAAAATCGAAAATTAATATAAAAAAATTGTTAGTGTTAACCTCAAAAATCACACATATCAAATACATTAATTTTTATTTACTTAAATCTAACATAACTTCTTTCATTAAATTCAAATAATTTACATTTAAAACGACACAGTTGTCTGCAACAACAGTTAGTTGTTTATTAAAACTATTATTTTTTCTATAATACTTTTTTTTTTCAACAAATAGAAACAAATCCATTGAAAACATCAGTCGAAGGCAGTGATAACATAGTTGATCGTAAAACAATGATACAAAATGTTGTTCGTTACATAAAGAGTATAACAAAATACTTACAAAGTAAAAAATCGAGATATATAGGAGTTTTCAAAATCATAGAAAGTATAAAAAGACAAACTTTATCTAAAGACATATTGCTAAAGAAAAATTAAGGAGTATTCTTGAATCGTCTTTATTCATGTACAGTCAGCATAAATATGTACTCATTTACAAAACTTTAAAAACTTGTATAGGTCTGTTTCAAAATAGTGTTAGTCAAAATCATTTTTTTTAGGTTGGAAGTATATGAAAAATTACTTGTATATTTTTGTAACCTAAAGCAGATACAGATATCTGAAGTTTTGTAAATGTATACATATTTATGAAGCTCACTGTACAGTTGAGAATACCTTGTACCCATTCTGGTATGTCATTTAAGGTTGACAATGCAAGTAGGTTGAAAAGTCAGCTATGTGCAAATATGCTAAATTACAGGTTTTTGCTTTTTTCGATTTAATTATTTATAATCAACTGCATACATTTACAAATCTTCAAGTTTCAAAAACTTGTTTTCACACAAAATGTGTTTGTCATTTGTTTGCTTTCCACAAATTTATGCTAACTGAAAAAATATTTTTGAAACCAAAGGCATATACAAGTTTTATAAATTAATACATATTTCCGCAGCTGACTGTACATTAATAGCATTATGTTATTGTTAAAATGTATTTAAAGTGCCTTTACGCATATTTAAATTTTTTCAAATACTTGAGATTCTAACAAAAGGTTAATTAAGAGTTATCACGTATTTTGATTAAAAAAATTGTAACAAATTGTTAATAAAAAATACAATTTTGTGAACTATTTGACAAGCCTTTTTTCATTTGGCACTGACATCTTTTTCAAATTTCAATATATTTTCTACACTGAATTCAATTAGCGTTGGAAGATATTTATTGACATAATTTCTTTAAAACATGGATACCTATGTTATAATGTTGCTTCTCTTAAATATAAAATAATAATGTATTTATAAAACTAAAAGTAAATAAACATTAACTTGCATATTTTACGTTTTAGACATACAAAAATAATTTATTGAATGTACATACCGAGCAATAAAAAAATCCTTGAAAATCCAGCTGCATAAAAAACTTTGAAATTGTACTTTGTTAATAATATTCATAATGTTCATAAATTTATCAATAATAAAATATAATCTAATATTGACAAAAATAACGAAAACTAATCTGAGCAAAATTCAAATACAAGGGATTGTAAGATATATAAAAAATGTGAGTTTTTAACTGCAAAAATTGAAAAAGAAGCACCAACTTGCTACCTTTTTATTAAAAAAAAAATAGTAATGATCCATGCTAAAAAGGATGAATTAAAAACATTTGAAGTCGGTTCAAGAGAAGCAACATTAATAACTGAGTATACAACATTGTTTTGGGTTAAAAACATGAACTCTTTCAAAGTCACCCTGTGTAACTTCATTTTACAACAAACCTTAAAGAAAAAAAGCGCATTACTTACTCTAAACATCTTATGTTCTCATTTAAATCCACATCAAGTCAAAAATTAACTGATTAACAAATTTATAGCCTAACCAAGAATATAAAATATCCATGAGTTGTTTTAATAAGGATATTCCAGAATTTTTCACAATATGGTAAGACTAGCTTTCGCCCGCGGCTCCCTCCGGGTGTAATTAAAAAACACAAAAGTGAGTAGTCTATATGTTCTTTCAGACTATCCTCTACATTTATATCAAATTTCATCGAAATCCCCTCAGCCCTTTATGCTACAAACTCTAACAAACATCCATCCATCCATTTAAACTTTCGCATTTATAATGTTAGTATGAAGTAAGATTACTGAAGATACAGTAATATTATAAAGAGGAAAGATTGGTAATTTTGTATCTAAAAAACAACTGGTCTGATTTAATAATTCGTTCACCAATAATAAGGTAATTTATCTGTAACATATATTTTTTTAATTTTACGCGGACGAAGTCGTAAGCAACAGCTAGTTTTTTATATTCCTGATCAGACTATATGAGAATATGTAAGCGAAAAGTTACCTCTACATCACTAACTACAAAGTAGTTCTTTACTTAGAGAATATCCAGTGAGAGAAATCTTCACTAAGGGGCTGCTTAAGTATAACCATGAAATTACTGACGGCCGAATATTGAAACGAATCAAAAACCTCACGTAATTTGCCGCTTACAATCTGACAGAAGTCAAAATGTTAATAGAATTTGCTTCATTTTACAGCAGAAAATACTTTATGTAACTAAATCGTTGACATCTACATACTTTACATTGTGTACCTTAAAATATAACGTGACCCACTAAGCCATATATATTAAAACTTAATGTATAACAATTTTATAAGCCAATCGTGACAATAGAATTACGATGTAACTATTAACAGACTTTCATACAAACAACTATGAATACAGAAACACAAACTTCTAAAGCTTCTAAAAGTATAAATATGTAACAATTTATAGTTAAACAAAAATTACTCTGCCAGGAAATGGTAACACTGACATTTGACAAGTGACAGATGACAGATAATATAAACCTAAGAAATTTGTCTATGCTTTTTATCTTTACAATCATAAATTACTACTGAAAAGTTTTCCGTGCAACCTGACAGAATATAAAAATCTGAGGGCACCTCAATCGCCTTTTTAAATCGCAACACTTTTATAATTTTCAACATTTAAGGCATAAAATTGCCAAGAACTTGAAAATAATTGCCGTGGACAATGTTTTTAAATTAAATAAGTGTTTCCAGTAGCATTTACATACGTTTTCTACAAAATAACGAAATTTATATTTTCATTATCAGGTTATTCAACTGACAGATTAGAGTTGTCTATTGCCATTTCTATAACTGGCAACACTGTCATAGTAATTTGTAGACTATAAATGAAGCATATTTATAAATTGTAAAGTGACCTTTGTGTCGCGGCGCGCCGGGGACATAGCATAGTTCAGCGATTTGCTTCACACGTCGAAGTCAGCGCCGGACTTTCCATTCGGCGCGATGAACGGCTCACTCCACATTCTTCTCAGATCGCCCTAAAAACATATATATTTTATACAATAAAGCGTAAACACACACTTCTTTGTTGCCTAAGATGTGAGCAATTATAGTATAATTTTGTATAATTCTTATTCTAATAAAATGCCCCACACTTGCGTCAAGCTTTAGGCTATATATGTTAACGCCATCAAACTTAGGGGGTAAATATTTTGGATAAAAACCCCAATGTGGGAAAGAGACCATAAACTACAAGCTGCCAACATCAACGAAGAAAATTTAAATTTTGACATTTGCAATTGAGAATTTCACAAAATGTAAACAATAAAATAAAAATTTCATACGGATAAAACCGCACGCGCATAGCTAGTTAATATTATAAATGCGAAAGTTCAGATGGACGTTTGTTAGTTTGTAGCCTATTGATTGACGGATTTCCATGAAATTTGTAACAGATGTAGTGAATAGTCTAGAAGAACATATAGGCTATTTATCACGGTTTCCATGGGATGCATTTATTTTATTTTTACATATTTATTGAAATTTTGTATTGATATAATACTTAGTCTAGTGAACGTTTAGGATACGGACCCAAATATCAGGTTCCCGAGATTAACATATTTTTTGGTTTTTCATTATTCATATTTGACAAGTTTTATATTTGTAAGACACCATGTCAGTTGAAAATTACACATTCCTCAATTAAGTAACTAAGTGGGTAGCTTACCTTGACGTACGCCATGGTGAGGAGCGGCAGCAGCGTGAAGGGCACGAGGTAGAGCAGCGCGGGCTGCGCCGCCTTGAACACCTCCGCAGACACCGTCGCCGTCAGCAGCCCCAGGAAGTAGCCCAGCAGCGAGCAGTGGAAGTACGTCAGCCGCGACCCCTGACAACGACAATGGATACATTCACAACTGTACAACATTGACAACAGGAGAATGTTGACAGTACAATAGTACAAGTAGACAAAAGTACAGTATTGACAGTACAAAAGTAGACAATAGTACAGTATTGACAGTACAATAGTAGACAATAGTACGGTATTGACAGTATAACAGTAGACAATAGTACAGTATTGACAGCAGTATGATATTGACAATCAAGCTAATATTAAAAATGCGAAATGTTAGAGTTTGTAGCCTAAACGACTGAACGGATTTCGATTAAATTTGGTATAGATGTAGGATAGTCTGGAAGAACACATAGGCTAGTCACTTTTGTTTTGTTTTTTTTTTAATTCCATGCAGACAGAGTCGGGAGCCAAAGCTAGTAGTGTAATGTTTTTGAAATAAAGCCTAAAAAGTACATACCATGGACCGAGGTCCGGGCACTTGCCCCATCTGGCAGACGAGCGTGGCCTTCTTGTAGGCGTCGTAGCGCAGCACGAAGCACAGCAGCAGCCCCGGCATCACGATGTCACCCAGACCTATTCAATAATTATAATTTAATACTAGTTTGTACCCGGCGCTCTGTTCGCATGAAAACTTACTGATATCAAAAATATGAAAGTTTAGATGGTTGGATGTTTGTTAGAGTTTGTAGCCTAAATACCTGAACGAATCTCGATAAAATTTGGCATAGATGTAGACCATAGTCTGGAAGAACACATAAGTTACTTACTTTTGTTTTTTATTCCAAGCGGACGGAGTCGCTGGTGAAAGCTAGTATACTAATATTATAAATGCTAAAGATTAGGTGAATGGATATTTATTTGGCTTTGTAGCTAAAACCGCTGAACGGATCTAGATGAAATTTGGTATAGATATAGAAAGTTTGAAGAACACATAGGCCACTCTCTTGTTTTTTTTTTTTAATTCAATGCAAAGCGACAGCTAGTTATACATATAATTTGTCTACCTTTGTTAAATCTACTTACCCAGCATGGAGAAGTGTCCCTGATGATGCATGGAGGGGAACACGAGCTTAGCGGGCAGAGACAGCTTGGGAGCGTCTCTCATAGCCCCGCCCAGCTGCAGCCGACGAGCCACCACGTTCATAGGGTTCTCCGCAGGCCTGGAAACAATTATACAAAACATTTACAAATACAGTTTTATAAACCAAACTAGCCGCTGCTCTCGGCTTCGTCTGTGTGAAATTAAAAAAAATAATAAAAGACAGCCTATAATAGTAATAACGTAGCTTGAAATCAGCCCAATAATTTTTGAGTTATTTCAATACATATAAAAAAAAAATCCTTCATCTTTATAATATTCGTATAGGTAAATGCCTTAGAACACCTACAGCCTACTGTGGTATTTTAGTAAATCTATGGAGGTGAGAACTAATGTACCGTACAAAGTTACCGGTGAAAAAATGTTCCCTATTCCACTGTAATTTACATATATTTGTGTGTTACCTGGTGGCGACTTTAACCATGACGTTGGTGGTAAAGATGTAGGAGGAGAAGAAGACCCAGAAGACATCGTAGAGCAGCAGGCCGGTGAGCAGCAGCGTGGACACCTTCAGCGAGGGAAGGCGGATCAGCGCGATGAACGTCACGCAAAGACCCATGCCCATTGCTGAAATATCATAAATCATACTAATATCATAAATTTGAAAGTTTAGATGGATGGATGTTAGAGTTTGCAGCCTTAACGGTTGAACGGATTTCGATGAAATTTGGCATAGATGTAGAGGATAGTCTGGAAGAACACAGAGGCTACACACTTTTGTTTCTTAATTCCGCGCGGACGGAGTCGCGGGCTAAAGCTAGTTTACAATATAATTGTTATACTTGTTGCTAACTCAAAGTACCTAAGGGTGGTAGTAAATCTATATTTAATGACTTTTAGTGATCTCTTGACTATGGTAGAGATAAATTTAAGTATATTTTTGTATACGTCATGCTTATTCTTATATTCTTTTATTCGATTGAAATAACTTTAATTCATATTTAATTTACATCTACTATTATGTAGTTAAAAAGATGTTTTCAGAGTAGATGTGCTACCACTTATTTTCAAGATTTGTAATATTTTGTGATCAATAAATTTGTATTTTATAAATATTCTTTTTGAATGTCGTGTCTCATCTGGAAGTCAAGAAGAACTAAGTAGGACTGGAAATCACTCTAACAACAAGAAGGAACGCACTTAAAAGAAATGGGTGAAATTTTTGTGCTATTTAGAAAAAACTCGGGTTTGTTTCTGTTTTTTTTTTCAAGAAGTAAAAAGAATAAAGAAGATCAGTATACTGACCATCCATAAGCAGCCAATGTCCGGTAAGCACCCAGACAGCGACAATGGAGGCAGCTAGTAGGGCAGCCGCGAGCTCGGGGGCGGAGTACCGGCCACAGGCGCGCGCGCCGCCCGCGCCCGCCGCGCCGCCCGCCACGTACTGACACAGCGGGGTCAGCAGGAACGCCAGCGCAGCGCATGCTATTACTATCACACAGAAATACAACTTTCAGTCAATTTCGTAATCTTTATAACCGGCTTACATGTTGAGTTGGCTTACTGGACTCGCATGAACAATAATACGGCTTGTGAGTTATTACAATCTACGCTTGTGATAACTATCGTTATCGTCAGTTTTAATTCACACGACTGGCTAACACTAAGCCAGGTGAGTCACTGGACTGGCATAAACAATAATGAGTTATTGGAATCTATGCCTACGACAACTACCGTTTTCTTGTACAGTCGCGGAAATCCGCAGTGTTGCAATTCAAAAAATAATAATAATAAAAAAAACTAGCCTTGTATCACTAACCGATTGTTTTGAAGTTGACATACATCTGGCAATTTTGACTTGTTTATTAATAACTATGGGGTCTATATCTCTAATTTATAGGAACCTTGTAAACATTTGGACATTAAATATAAAAGTGTGTCTTATAAGGCTTTAGACTTTGAAATGCCATTTTTTTTATAATATGAGTGCGTTTATAATATAATACGATGCGTTGTCTACCCTTAATTGATGGAGGAGACGCACATAAAGAGGACATTTCCCCTTCCTATGCGTCTCCTCCACCGTCAAATCAACTTTTCCTTCCCATCCTTTCCTCTTAAGAAAAGGGTGGGAAGGGAAAAGGATTAAAATTAGTCCTCCGGCACCACACTCATCAGACTGTACGCGAAATTTCTTCCACTTGACGCCTGTTTTCTGTGTGGTTGTGGTATTACACCGGGCGAGCCCTACAGTGCGAAGATGTTAAAGCGGGCTCTACCACTGTTAAAACCACTGTTACTATCCTTATTTTATGAAAAACATAGCATATAATGACATACTGGCAGTGCAAATGGCGACGAGGGTCTGCATGGAATCGAAGAAGAAGAACATGATGAGCAGCGCCACGGAGGAGCCGAGCGGGAAGCACAGCGCCTGCATCGTGTTCAGCGTCTGCACATCTGGAACGAAACCAGTACAACATACTATTAAAATTCTAAATCGTATAGTATAAATCTATTAACTAAAATACAAAAAAGCTTACATACAATACAAAAATACAAAAAATTCAAAAAAGGTTATGACGATCAGGGTAAATGGATTTAATCACACAAGCTAAAATTTACCAAAAGGTTACACTTAATCAAAACCATGATGCAAATAATTATTAAGCTTTATAGCATGCATTATAAACAATCTAGCTTCTGCTAACGACTCCGTCCACATAGGGTTAGAAAGAGTAAGCTATGTGAACACATATAGAAGAACTTTTAGACTACTCTCTACATCATTGGCCAATTTCATTGAGATTCCTTAAACAGTTTAGGCTATAAATTCTAAAAAACATCCATCCATCTAAACTTTCGCATTTGTAACATTAGTAAGATCAATCTTAATAATGTTACTAATATTATAAATGCGAAAGTTTAGATGGATGGATACTTGTTAGAGTTTGTAGCCTAAACTGCTGAACGGAAAACGATGAAATTTGGCATAGACGTAGAACATAGTGTCTGGAAGAAAACAGGCTATTTTTTTTAATTTCACGTAGAAATAATGGTAAGCAAAAGCTAATACATAGAGCTAAGGGTATTTTTTGTAAATTAGTTGTAAACTTACTGCTGTTGTGTGAGCAGGAGGGTGCGGGCTTGCCTCCCAGCAGCGTGGCCTCTCTTTCCCTCTCCGCCCTCTCGCGCGCCTCCCTCTCCATGTTCAGGGAACGGAAGCTGCCGTACACTATCAGTAGCATTGAGATCAGGCAGGCTGACACCCTGAATAATCAAAAATGTGTACACCTTTTATTATGTTGTATGTCTATCTTGTTCAATTTCAAGAAGTGGATGCCCATGGTTATGTAACATCGAGTTAGGTCGTTTCTAATGTTTTCATCATATTCCAAATTAATAATAGGTTATTGCGTAATTCAGATTAATTTCACATTTAGAGTGAAGAAACTGTGGTTTACATTTATTTAAAGCTCGGGCATATTTTTTTATTTTCTATGACGTAAATTTTCGATGTCAATACCGCCTTCCTATCCTGTGCATACCCATTTCGTAATTTTCTAATATTGACCTTTTGTAATTCTTCTCTTCATTTATTCCTTTAAATTTTTAACACTAAAGATTTTGACATACTAATATTACCTTAAAGAGGCAACATAAATTATGTCCGAAGTCCTGACCAACTGGAAACCATATTTATCTGACTACAAGAATTACAATAACTAAATATAACATCGATCAATAATGAAAATGTAAGTCATCCCTGGCCTAATTAAAGTGGCATAGGCCACTCGGGCGGTAGATTGTGAGGTCTAATGAAACGTAATGGTACATCCAGCCCTCTCCAATTAGGCGTTGTCTAACTGCCGGTGTAAGCCACTTTGTACTGACAATTGAATGATGTTTTGCTCATTTCAAATTCATGTATGGATTATATCATGTACAAAGAACCTCAATAAGTTAAAGTCCAAGGGAACATATTATTTTTTGAAGTTATAGAGGTTTTAAGTTTTCAAGGGTCTATGTTGTAGAGGTTTTAGGCTTTGATGGGAAGGGAACATATTATTTTTTGAACTTACAGAGGTTTGAGTTATCATAGTTAGATACTGTATTTAGAATTCAGAGATAGAGAAGCAATTACTTTGTTACTTATTGTGGCGTGTAGAGACGTGCCAGAGGTCTAAATAAACCATTTCCATAGTTTCCATACGTGAAAATGATGGGGAGGGGAATTTGCATAGGGATGGGACGTATAAGTAGAGGAAATATCCTCTTTCTGCGTGTCAATATATGCAAATTCAGATATCTATGGGCAACAGTCGCTTACTAGTTTATACAATACAATAAAATTATGTGGAGCAATGGATTATTTGTGATTTTAATTTGCAATTGTTTTTACCGTTATGGAAACATCGATATCTAGGTATCCCCGTGATTTTAATGTTTACATTTTAATAAATAATTAAAACTTTAATAAAATCAAATAGTAGCTGGCCTTTTGTATACCAACAGGCAAGATAACAGTAAATTAGAAACTAAAAGTGAAGTATATACCAAACCTTGCTTTACAATAGAGATCGGTGTGAATAAAGCGTGGCCATAGACAAGACTATTTAATAAACATACTCTTTGATGTGTGAGAACGGTTACAATATAGATTGAAGCCTCGATCAAAAGAAAGTAACACAATAAATAGATATTATTGTGTTACTTAAGAACTTCGAGCCGCTGAGAGGAAATTGCGTGGGAAGTAACCAATTATCTAATCTAAATATTTTAATCTATATCATTTGAAAGAACACAGTTATGTTTATTTAAATGTATCTATATAATTAATGTAAGTAGATACGATTTCACGAAAGGTTTTTTTCCTACCAAAAGGACCGTTAAACAATGAAAACCCAGATCCAGATTTGTTTGTGAGATGTGTAAAATCTTACCAATATTGTAAATGCGAAAGTTTAAATGGCTGGATGATTGATTAAGTTTGTAGTCTAAATTGATGAACGGACCTCGACAAAATTTGACATAGATGTAGAGGAAAGTCTGGAAGTACACATCACTATTGCTTTCTTAATTCCACGCGAACGGAGTCGCGGACATAAAGTAGTTTGATATAAATTGGACGTTTCTCTATTTACTTAATTTCGTTGGAACTATATAAACATTGCTTATATCGAGATACGTTTGTTTCAGTTAATTCGCATGCAACAACAGCTGCCCAAGTTTCGTTTATTGTGAAAGTGTTTCTCCAACTGTATTCCGCGTTTAATATTCAATAAGACTGCGTTTAGGCTGTACACTGATCGTATTTGCATTGAGAACACTAAACATCTTCGAAAAATCAGAATAAAACAAAACAACGGTTAACGGATTACAAGAGATATCTATAGATTCGTCGAATTGGTGACCACTAAGGACACATTTTGGCGCAGATTTATTTGCAAGATAAAGATAATATGGATCTATTTTAATCGTTTAAAGAGAGAGTAGCCAAAATTTGGCTTGATCTTGAACATTTCCTTATTTTTACTGTTTCGAATGCTGTATATTGTACAATTCTACTAGTATAGACTCATAACAGAGTAATTTAGGTTAAAATACTCGTAATTGTTGTGTATTGTTGTGACAAAACAAAACCCTAGGCTTACATCATGAAAAGCAACGTTCCACATTTTTCAAATTTATCTAAGCATAGAGAAGTTTAGATTTATGATTATGCGCATGCTCTTAAAAGAAATTTGCCTGTGTTATTTGGAAATTGGTAGGGAATTTAGAAATGTAGTTATAATTGTCAAAGTAATTTCATTTAGCCCACTAACAAAGTTAAATACAATGAATCCAGTTTTAGAATACTGCTGGCTTAAAATTTAAGGTATACGAAATATCTACAAATCACTAAATCATCAGTTACAAATGTTTGCACTCGTTATATTAAAAAAAACTTACTTCGATGAGTCCATGATTGAATAGGCCCACTTGTACTCCTGGTATTCCATGTTGGCACCGACCTGCGCCATCTTGCTACGTCACTGGGCGTGGAGGGAAGCGGGCTGGGAATGCAGTTTACACCAGGAGCACTCTGTAATAAAATAAATAATAAAGACATAATTAAAACCCTGTAATTAAGGGTAAGAAACTATCTAACTTTTGGTATACATACAGAAACCCATAATTGATACTAAATCGATCTAAAGATTATTTTGATAACAGATATTAAAAAAACATCTATCCTACTTTAAAAGCTCTTAAATTATAGATCAATTTTTTGTCCTTTTCGCTCTATTCTGAATAGAAGAGGATGGGAAGGAAAAGTGGATTTGACGTCGGAGGAGACGCTCAGAAAGAGGAAATTTTCCCTTACCATCTGTCTCCTCCTCCGACAATTAAGGGTAAGCAACGCATCTGCAACTGTGGATGTCTATGAACAGGGGTCGCTTCGCCATTTCGGCGAATTCAGGTGGCCGCTTGTTTGTTTCCCACCTTATTTTAAAAAATATGTCTTCTCATTCCTATTTCGATGCTTTAACCTTTTATATTTGGAGATTGAATATCTTGGATAAGCCAAAGTCTACCGAGATGAGATCTATAAATATTGATCTTTAGATGAAAAATATTTTCGGCTAATAATCCAAAATGGACGAACAAAACGAGTAGTGTTCAATAACACAATACATCTCATAACAATCACGGCTCGGAACACGAATATCTGTCCATAATATTTGTAGTTGGTGTGAGAAACTGCTATAGATTTTATAGATAATTTCACACATTAGTACAATACTAAGAAATCAACTAAAAACATACTACATTGATAAGATGGTCCATTGTAAAACAAAACATGTATTTAATGATAGTTTGTAAAAATAAAAATCATGCGCGTAAACCAGATATTCTTCCGACTTAGAAAGAGATAAGGCAGATTAAAAAAACATCTCTCTCGATCCGTTATCATTATTTTAAACTGCCGAAAGACCAGCCTAGTACACTATTGTTTAAAATCTTTACAACGCGTACACCTACGAAGATCTCCAGAATCAGAGTATTGTTGCCAGTCTCTCCCAAATTAGAATAAAACCACAAGCACTGAACACTGGTCCAATCCGCTGAGGGAGAGTATAAACGAGAAATAGAATAGTACACTACTTTCATAGTTTACTCGTTTCAATTTTAATTGTATCCTTATACGCGCCTTCGTATTCCACTTTATGTTTAATGTAAACTATTTTGTGAAATAATTATTACACCCGTAACTAAATCACAAGAAATATGACAATGTTATATGGACATCTTACTATCGTACTTCTTACTATTATTGTGAATGCGAATGTTTAGATGGATGCATGTTTGTAAGAGTTTGCAGCCTAAACGATTAATCGGATTCCGATGATATTTGGTAAAGACTTAGAGCATAGTCTGGATGAACGCATAGGCTACTTGCTTGTGTTTTTTCAATTTCACGCGGGTGAAAGCTCATACTCTAATAAAATAAACGCTACTAACACTGTGTGTAAAATAATAAATTCTATACGCAACGAAGTATTGATTTGACCAATGAACTGGTAAGCAAAAAGATCATAATTCAAAGTCAACTAAAATGTGTCTCAACACTGTTTTCATCTCATTTTTTTAAAAAAAGAAGATATAATTAAACAAGTGGTATGTCTCAAGCACATCTTAAGTGCATACTTAAGTATACGGCAATTATGCACTGAGCATAACTTAAAGTGCACTTTGAGCCACTTTAAGTTCCCAGCAACGAGACATCAACAGAGATACAATGTCATATTTTATAGGGTTTCTCAGGTGGAGTTGATTGCGTGACTTATGTTAATAACTATTAGAGAATAGAGAACTAATAGAGAATAACATACTTAGTAATAGATCAGCTGTTTTCCTCATTTTTTATTAGATTTAGTTAAGCACAGGAGTATTACATTTTTTGCGTAAAAATATATGATCTATTGCAAATTACAGACAATGCTAATCATAAGTTAGGGCGCGGTTGGACGATCACAAAACGCGCTGGACAGGAAAGGGCAAAAATTAGTGAATTACTAACACCAACCCTCCACGATAGATAGAACGCAAAAAAGGGGCCACTGTAGATATCTTGCCAAGGGTGTTAATAGTGCTAAAACCAATACTGATTACAAATAACAAGGAATAAAAAAATGTATTTATTTAATGACAACAAGGGCGATTTCATGATTTCACTACCGTTACGCAAAAAATAATGAGGGTCAAAGAGAATACCATGTTGGTAGACCATAGTTATGGTGTAATAGTGGTGGAACATTAACCTATCATCCCTGTTATTAAAATAAAATTGGGCAAACAAATGCAGAAACATCAAGGTTATCAACATCCATTGACATGCCCAATACCATAGGAACTACACATGCATTGCGGGCCTATTAGGATTTTTTTTATTGTTAACAGAACACTATATTATTTCAACACATGCAATAAAAATTTAAGGCTTTTTTTTAGAAACATAACTATTTCTATCTGCACAGTTCAGCAGCTGATTGTATTGGCAGCTGATCGGATGTAAAGTGAGCTTACTATATGTCCTCACTGAGGTGCTTGGCACATACCCTAAGTTGGCCCACTGCTTTGACTTTACACATATCTTTAAATTACTCCAAATATTCATAGGTCCATCGTATCTTTGGTTAGTTTATATGCATGGGTCAATTTATAGTAAACTAGCTTCCGCCCGCGACTTTAAACCACCATTTGAAATTTAAAAAAACAAAACTGCGTAGTCTATGTGTTCTTCCCATTCTATCCTCTACGTCTGTGCCAAATTTCATCAAAATCCGTTTAGCTGTTTAGGCTACAAACTCCAACAAACATCCATCCATCTAAACCTTCGTATTTATAATATTAGTACAAATATGATTACAATTGATTTATATAGTGATTCAAGTAGAAATGTAGATAATCATATGAAAATGTGTCAATGAATAAAAAACATTACAATATGTCTTTCTTACTAATAAAAGATAAAAGGTCAAGAGGTCAAATGATATCAATGTATAAATATTTATTTAGATAAATTGTTCTTAGGTATAACATAACCAGTTATTGTTTTTTCTTTTCTTTTTATGGTTTTATATGTTGACCATGTCTGACACTTACCTAGACATTTTCAATTCTTTTCACACAATATTGAATATTTATGGAGTTTCAAAATATAAGCCCTCAATGTTCAAATATTTTTTTCAAGAAAGCTATTTTATAAAAAAAATCATTAAGTCTTATTTTTAATAATTTTCCCCTATTGCCGTTAAACTGGTTATATCCAACAGCTTTAGATAAATTTGAAAAAATTCTGTAAGTTATTGAAATCACATTTTGTAAACTGAATTTAATAAATGTTTTTTACATGTTATTATTACTGTGTGTGTACTTACTATTATTATTAAATCTCAAATAAGATCAGTTTCTAAATTATAGCAATATTCCCTAAACTTAAGTAGGTCATTATTTTAATTATTTGTATCATAATAGAATAATAATTAATGTGAGCACTTGAACTATTACAAAATAGAAATTACTTTTAAAATTAAATAAAAACGGTGAATTGGTATACGACGGCGTAGCTAACACTTCAGGTCAGAACAATGGATAAAAAAACACCTTCGAAATAAGTAGAGCACGAAAATATCGTACAAACTGAAGTGAAAGGGTATCCCAGATGGACTTACAATATGAGATACTTTTAAGATTCCAAAATCGTATTTACCTTATAATTATGGTAAATATTTTAAAAACATATTGGAAAACAAGAATAGATAAATTTAGAAGTAATTATAAAAGAAAGTGGATTATAATTACGGAAGCTACAAACAACAATAATAAGCTTACCAAAATCGAGAACTGCTCCAAATTTTAAGCAATCCTCAGCCCCTTGGTGCCATACTTGGTTCTTGAGGTATAATTAACAATTCCCTTACATTAGAAAATAGAGTTTATTAAAATTATTTACTTAAGAAAATATACGGTCTTTTACTTGACGATCGACTAGACAGCCATAATACACCATAGATAATGATTAGCCAATGATTAACATTGCTAGCCGAAAGATAGGACACGCTTTTATTTCAAAGAGCAAAAAGTTTTATCTATGATTGTAGCACCATAGCCAAGAAAAAAAGAAAACCTAGATTTGTCTGTGGTTTTTGTTTTTGTGTGAGACGAGAAATTTGTGAATTGTGGATTTAATTTTTCTTTTATAAATACGTTCAAGTGATTTTCGTCGAAACTAAATCAAAATGAAGTTGTCACTTGTACTGTTTAGACGAAATCGATTGCCTAATGGACATATATTCAGAGGAAAAGATCGTTTGGTGAAAAAAGTAGAACCCTTCCACCTTCGTGGTATACAACAAGACTTTGCCATTGAAGAACAAAATATGTTTTATTTGAGATTCCCTTATCTGACAGAGGTAAGATAGTTTTATATAAAGGTGTTAAAAGCTCAACATCCTAACCTAACTTTGTGAACCAATGCATAAATTCTTTATGTAATGACTGAAAGAATTTACTTTTCAGGCTGAAAGCGCGGGACATATGAAGGCATTAGGAAAGGTAGATGAGAGAAAGAAAGCATATCGGGAGAAAAATCTAAAGTTATTTAAAGAAGATGTTACACTTTATGAAAGGTTGAAACACCTACGTGTTAATGAGAGTTGGGATTGAGTTTTAATTTTTTTTTATTAGGTTATTGTTACTGTAGTTATTAAATATTGTTTTAATAGATTCTAATTGTTTTATTTTTAACTTTGTAATGTAGAATCTACACTGTAACACCTATTATATGCAATTATTACTGTCATTGTTAAAAAAAAAGAACAATCTGTCCTCCATGTCATCTCAAATTCTGTTAATGTTTCTGCTAAACATCAGGGTCAATATAGTTCCAATATCATAAATAAAAAATATAATATTAAATACTTTATTTCATAACATATAACTAATACATGGACACTGTAATATCACATTTATACACACAAATTATGAACAATATAAATATTTCAAATATTTACGAAACATATTTAAATATTTTATTGAGCTTATATTATATACATAGATATATTTCCTACAACAATACATAATAGAAACTCTCAAATTAATATTTTAATAATACTTTTTAAAAGCGGAAATAGTATATATTGTGAGCTATGAGTAAAATGTACATAAATTAAATGTATAAGCACTATGTGCGATTAATTATGTAAAGTTTTTTTGCATTTAAGTACTTTCAGACAAAACAGTTCTGCTCTTTATATTTATATAGACTTGCCGCGGAATAACTCATAAAGCACTGTGAACACATTCTTATGAGAAGCAATAGACCACTCATACAGTATGCATAAAAGCTTACATCAAGTTTTTGTATACAAAAATTGTTAATTAGTTAAAAACATTTGGAAAACAGTAAGCTTACAGAACAGAACTATTTTGTACTTCAAATTCTACAATTAAATTATTAATGCTAAGATAAATAATACTGAAATTTACATCTACTTCGTCCACGCAAAAGGATCATCCTTTAAATCCTTCTTGTATAAAGATTTACCTTGATATAGAAGTTCCGCGAATTGAGAGACTACTGGATCTCGCATACAAGACGCCACAGCTATGACTTTATCTGACTTATCAAAGAAAAATATAACGAATTTTAACGCATCAATATCTCCTTCTATTTGTGTGCTACTTGGTTTACCGCACCCAGCATACCTTATAGATTTCCCAAAGAGCATGGTCCAGAAATATGGTACAGTTTTGAGTTGAGTTTCCTTCTTCAATATGTTAAGACCGGCAACTTTGCCATGGTACTGGGAAAGACCTATATGTCCTATAGCCATTGGATCGTCGTTGTGAGCAAACACGGGCGCGTAAGCTATATCACCACCTGCGTAAACATTTTTGATATTCGTCTCCAATTTATCTGATACAATAACCGCACCATTCGGCCGCAAAGCGATACCGCTATCTTTGAGGAAGTCGGTATAGAATGTGCTTCCCACACCTAAAATCAACAGGTCTGCGGGTAGAGTGGCCCCATTTGCAAGTTCCACGGACGTTATCGTACCATTTTCGCCATTACATTTGGTAATTGTTGTTTCAAAATGGAATTTAACATTTTTATCTTCAAATAGTTTTCTTAGACTCTTGCCGATTTCCGGTCCGAATATTAATCCGAGGGGCTCGGTGTCTTTGCCGACGACGGTCATCGATTTTGCTGCTTGTGTGCAAGAGGCCGCCGCTTCCAATCCTATGAAACTCAGTCCGAGAACCACCACATTTTTATCTTTATCTGAACCTAGAGCTTTGAGGATATTTACTGAGTCCTCGTAGTTCCTGACTGTGAATATATTTTTCAAATCGATGCCTGGGACATCTGGGACGCGTGGTTTGCATCCTGTGGCGATATAGACAGTACTGTATGGTAATTTCTTGCCGTTGCTTAGATGGACCACTTTCGATTGTGGTTCGAGTTTCGTCGCTTCTACACCTTTCTGGACATCTATATTTGCGTCTGTGTAATATTCTTGGTTCCTGACTTGTAGCTTTTCTATGTCTGTTGGAGTTGTTATTTTGGATATTTTAATTCTGTCATATGGAAGGTAGTTTTCTTTAGCTACGATAGTGATGCGCCCCTTGAAGCCTTCGCCGCGTAGTGTTTCAGCGCAAGTGGCGCCGGATGGTCCTCCGCCGATGATCACTACTGATGTCTCATCGCAAGAGGCTCTTGATCCCATATCCTTAGACCTCTTGTTGGATTTTAAATCCGATATTTTAGCGCGTACCTGTAACATGAGAACAGAAAAATTATATAAAGTTTTGTTTGTAATTTAAAGTAAAACGTTTATCTGTTTTATAATAAATGCGAAAGTTTAGGAAGATGAATGTTTGTTAGAGTTTTTAGCCTACTAGCTTTCGCCCGCGACTTCGTCCGCGTAGAACATATAAAAACAAATTCAAGTCTGGTAGAACACATAGGCTTATGTGTTCTTCCAGACTACCCCCTACATCTATGCCAAATTTTATAGAAATCCGTTGAGCCGTATAGGCTACAAACTCTAACAAATATCTATCCATCCACCTAAACTTTTCCATTTATAATATTAGTATGATAGTATGATTAGTATGATAGCCTTCTGAACGGATCTCTATTAAATTTGGCATAGATGTAGAGGATAGTGTGAAAGAACACATAGGCTACTTATTTTTTTTAATACCAATACGCAGACAGAGTTGCGGGCGAAAGCTAGTAAGAAATAAACCATCATAATCTTGCATAGCCATGAGTTAGTGTAACATGAATATTTTAAGCAACAATCATAACTGCGTAGTAGGTCGTAAAATATTTGCAGTTTTACTACACTAACTTTCAATTCTCAGTACCAACAAGCAATGTTTTTGTAACGATTTATCGAGCTTAGTGTGACCTTGGAGTGACTTCCATCGCTCTAATGCACCAAGGTTATATCATTGTATTTAAAGAAATCATTCAATGAACAATGTAGAAGTGAATAGCTATCGCAAAATCAATTTTGTATGAAAGGTTCTTAATAAGTTTGGAGGAAACCAACATACAACTTCTGTTGCACAGATTTTTTAAAAAAGTTGTTCAAATCACTTTTCTATCAACTTCATCTGTTATTTGTTTCATATTTTAGTTTAATCAAGAATATTTCATACGAGACTCTTGTATTTTCAATACAATCCTATTACAGTTTAAAAAAAAATTGCCTTGTTACTTTCATGTAAGGTAACAATGAAGTAATAATATATGTTAATAAAACAATATTTATCATCTCTTAAAGAACACTCCATAGTTTTATAACAAAAACATCGCCCACGACTTCCAAGAAATCAATATACGTAGAAAAACACAATTCTAGTTTCTTCTATTTAATTTATATGTTCCATATTAAATTAAATTTGATTATAAGGAAGGGAAATCAAAACCTACCGGAAGGTAAACCAAAATATTAATACAAAGGTCAATTCACGTTTTTAATTAGAAACAAAATCAATGTGTCAAATGTTACTGAGCGATTATAAACTTCGTCAATATAGAAAAGGGCTAGTGAGATTTTAAAGGAACGAATTTTTATTATTACAAAATTCAGAGATCTTTGACCATTCAGACAAAATCTATATAGATATCGTTGTATATTTGGTTTACGCATACAAGACGTAGAGTAAATCCACTTTTTATTCGTATTTCGATATGAAAATGATTTTTACAAAATTATACGACTCAACAAATATTAGAAATTTTTAATTTTTAACCGGGAGTTTACATATGGAGTGTTTTAACTCTTACAAATTTTATCCTGATTCTTCTTGAAAAAAAATGAAATAACGACATGTTTCTATACATGCATCGGTAATGAAAGCCGACAGCAAATCACATTAGAAACAGTTGACGTGTGATTGCTATATTCAGAGTCTAAATATAGACGACAACTCATTTTTGAGTCACAGACTGTTGGTAATTCCACATCTCATAAAATATAATTAGGGTTGTTAACGCATATATTTACAGACAATATTTCGTTTATCTCTTCATAATATTAATGCGATTTTGCAATATACCATACACACCGATGGTGTATAGCCCGCTATACACCATCGGTTTTAACTGCACAGTTAAAACTACTACTACAAAAAACTGTAGGTGTGTAGCGGGCTCAATACTCGATTTTATTATTACGTCATAGTAGCCATGTAAAATACGGGCAGGGTCGGATTCATACGAGGTCGCCAAATTGCAGGCAATTTCCCTCGACCATTTTACCTTTATATTAAATTTTATTTGTTATTTTAAAGGAAAAGCAGCGGAAAAAAAGATAACTATCTGTTTTTAAAGGTCTTAAAGCAGTATAAACTTCCTATAATCAAATTCATTACATCTGCACTGCACTTTATATAAATAACTAAGTTTTATTGAAGTAATTGACAGAAAATAATGTAAATGTAAGATTCTTATGTATTTTATCGCCTCATTAATTTATTATGAAGGCGACTGGACACACTAATCTATCACAGCACACATAAATTCCGAATAATTACGTCATCGGCTAACAATCGCATAAAAAATCACATATGACTAAACTTGTGTGACACGGTCAACATAAGAAACATCATAAACCAAGGTAATAAAGTGCTTTTAGAATGTTAGCGTTGTTAAATTTAATTGAAAACATTACACGCCCGTTACTGGTAAGCAGAGATTGTGAATTTCACAAACGATACTGGCACACCTTTCTTCTTTTAAACTATGACAGGCTTACAAATAAAAGCGGTAGAGAGTACATTTGTAATCAAATTTGTTTATACTTAGTTTATTTCTAAGTTTAACTTTATACTGCGTTTATTTGTAAGGCTGTATATAATTGTTTACATAAACTGTATCTAATTGCACATATGCTTAAAAAACGGAAATAAGGAAAAATTCGATACTGTAATACATAAAATCGTAATAAGTTTCAAAAGAAACCGACCGATAATTTAAGGTACACATTTATATCTTTATCTAATCTTTTAAAGAGTAAAAAAAAACTAATAATGTACTCAAAGTACTAAATTTGGCACAATCACTATAGAGAAGTATAGATTGTTTTGTCCGTTACACTTACTGTACCGATGAACCTAATGGAATAATTTATTACATTCAGTTTTTACAACAACCAAAAGCATATGAAAAATAAATAGTAACTAGTACTATTAAAATAAAAAGAAAAACTCGTTATACTTCAAATTGTGAAAGAGACCTTGTCTAATCACATAACTAGGTCAGACATTTTTACCAACGTTAACTACCTAGTTTTGTTAAGTGAATTTACGATAACAAACAAGGCTCTTTTAATTTCTCGTATTTTACCGACTTTCCATAAGAAGGAGGTACTCAATTCGTTGGTATATTTTTTAACGTCTCTGGATATAACCAGGACGCCTCTGTAATTAAACAAACCGAACAAACAAAAAAACTGGCTGAATGTTATATCTAGAGAAAAATACTAGATCTAGATAAAAAAATCCGCCTTTCGGCGGAATTTCCTTGTCCCAATAATCTTAATAGAACTAATGACCCGAGTATTATAAAAAAATAAAGATTGATTTATATACAAATACCAGACGATTTGATATAATGCGATAACATGATTGATTACAAACAAAACTTATCTAATAAATACATATAACTGTATCAATGTATTTTTTTTTATCAAATCGTTATCATAAAATAGCCTACTAATGTTCGAGAGGTATTTACATTGTCAATCATACACATATCGTACGAAGTACAACTTTTAACTACAGATGGGTAAATACCAACGTTTTTTCCTTAAAGTAATCAAAAACTGTTTTCTTATTTACTTTCTTATATACAAATAGACCACTGAAAATCGTTCCCGGTCGCAAGTGATCCATGGAAGAGCGGAGATTACATGGTGGGAAATAAATTAGTTAGTTTTTTTTTATAACATAAGGTTGGCAAACAAGCAAGCGGCCACCTGGATCCACCGAAATGGAAGGCGACCGCTGCCCATAAACATCGGCAATTCCAGACGCTTTGCCTACCCTTATTGACGGAGGAGGAGACGCACATAAAGAGGGCAATTTCCCTTCCTATGCAACTCCTCCTCCGTCAAATCCACTTTCCCACCTATCCCGTTTCTTATAAGAAACGGGTGGAATGGGAAAGGGACTAAAATTAGGCCTCCGGCACCACACTCATCAGACTGTACGCGGAATTGCTTCCACTTGACGCCTGTTTTCTGTATGGTCGTGGCAATACACTGGGCGAGCCGGCCCTACAGTGTGAAGATGTTAAATCGGGTGCTACCTCTGCGAAACCAGTAAAATGTTTAAAGAAGTCTACGAGAGGGAATGTTTGAAAATTCGACGAGAACACCCATCGATATTGAATGTCACGTTTCGCGAACCATCCTTACTTATTGATTAAACCTTATGTCATACTATCATATCTATCTCAAATCTTTGTATTATAAAGATAGTTAGTTATAAATCACGCTTGCAATGATAACGAATTTTTGAATTCCGTCCGGAATTAAGGCGTCTAGTCTAGCGATTAACGTTCAACAAGCTTAACAATCTTACTAATATTATAAATGTGATAGTTTAGATGGATGGATGTTTGTTAGAGTTTGTAGCTTAAACGGCTGAACTGTTTTCGATGAAATTGGCATAGATTTAGAGGATAATAAGGATGCACACATAGGCTATTCACTTTTGTTTTTTTTTTCATTTCCACGCGAGTTTGCGAATTGTTCCAAATTAATTTGGAACAATTCGCAAACTCGATAAAGGTGAACCTTCGTCTATCGGATAACAATATCAGGCGTGGTATTACTTACTAGTTTGTTAGTCACGCGCCAATTGTACCAAGTTTTAAATAATAATAAAAATATCGAATTTAGTTTTGAATTCTCATCTTGCATCATTTATCTCGTGTTAGGGTCGCTGAACAATTTTTTTAAACGTGGTTTATATCAATTTATATTTGTAGCAAAATATAATGATCTTTGTTGATGATGTATTTTTAAAATCTTACGGAAAAAGTTGTCGTATACACGTAAATTCTGCTATGAGTGAAGCCACTGCTTGTTACTTTTTTAGACACACTAAAAACATACATCTATATCTATACTAATATTATAAAGAGGAAAGATTTGCATTAATGGATTTTTGTATGTATTATCACGTTATCAGTGAGTAACATAAGGCACATTTTTAATTATTTTTTAATTTCACGCGGACGAAGTCGCGAGCAACAGCTAGTATGTAACGACACAAAGCATACAATATTTTCAATAACGAACTAATGTCTCGATAAATTCGGCGACGTTTTTACAGCACATTTGTACATTTCATAAGAAGTACTCTAATGTTTTAAATTAATAAAAGTCCGACTCTATCTTTATTATTCAACTTGCATTCTTGTAATGCGGAGTGAGCGCGCCATTCTGATATTACGGAATTTAGATTAAAAATCCCACAGCTGGTAGGAATTTTCTTATTTCATTCTCTATAATAGTTGTGGTGTATATGTGGGTATGCCAATAATAATGTACCGTCAGTAGTGATAATAATAAATCAGTCCAGTACCAACCGCCGTTTCATTAACACCCCTACATTACATTGGCGACGAGGATTTTTTGAATAGTGAACCCGAAATTATTTATTTTCGCGAGGTGGACGTAGTAACAACGTTTTGTGCGCTGTGTTGTGCTAGCAGTGTGCGTTACGACGTTCGTAACACCAAGGGTGTGGAAGATGTGTTAAAGATGTGGTCATGGGCGACCGCAAAAAG